TACCAAGCAATTTCAGGGCTTTTCAAGCAACAAGGCTTTCAAGGCAGATCATTATTGTTCGTCATCTTTAAATTGTTCAGTAATTATACAAAAACAACCTCTATGTTTATCTGTGTAATTTGAGACAAAATATGGATGAAAAAAAATATTTTGAAATTTTGTTTAATGAAACTTTTATTGAATTGATAATTTAATCAAGTATAATTTATGGAATACAGCCATAATCTCATACTCATATCGTGAAATAAACTGCATACATTTATACCCTACATAAACGCAGAATTGATTAAATGTATTAGGCTTAACTAGATTGGAGGGGGGGGGGGGTCACTGTAAAATTGCTAAAACTATTTACATAATTTCTGAACTTTTCGCAAATTATAATTTAGCCTACACCACCCATGTCGACAAAAAAATAAGAAATATTAGTTTTTCATTAAAAGCGATAAAAAAACTATAATATCTGGTTTGAACCGGAAAAAAACAGTTAAAAGCAAAAACATAGAGCTACATAAACCCCGTGGAAGAACGAACTAAGATACAATTGGTACACGAAAAATGCTCATTTAGTATCGAAGACTATTCACAAAAACTTTCTTTTAGCTTTTCATTTAAGATTTTGGAATAAAAAACCTTTGACAATCAGCTTACTTTTAAAAAATTAGAAAATATGTCAATTTTTTCATACATTATTAAAAAATAAAAATGAAATGTGAATTCTTAATTTTGAAAAATCTGGACAAAATTTTATAAAAAAAAGGAGATTACAGTGCTTCTGTAGTTTTATGTAAATATCCATGTTTCCATATCTACACTAGCGTAGGTTGAGCTGAGAGGTGGTTTCTTATAGAAAACTGTAAATGTTCCAATTATGGATTGAGAAAGATGAATCTTGGACAGCAAAACAGAGATTAGTGTCTCACAGTTGAAGGAAAATTAAATGACGTCATAACAACTCACAAGATAAGAATAGATGACATCACAACTCACAGGATAAAAGTAGATGACATCACAACTCACAAGATAAGAATAGATGATATATCATAACTCACAAGATAAGAATAGATGATATCACAACTCACAGGATAAGAATAGATGATATCACAACTCACAGGATAAGAATAGATGATATATCACAACTCACAAGATAAGAATAGATGATATCACAACTCACAGGATAAGAATAGATGATATCACAACTCACAGGATAAAAATAGATGATATCACAACTCACAAGATAAGAATAGATGTTATAACAATTCACAGGATAAGAATAGATGCTATAACAATTCACAGGATAAGAATAGATGATATCACAACTGACAGGATAAGAATAGAACTTATCACAACTCACAGGATAAGAATAGATCTTATCACAACTCACAGGATAAGAATAGATGTTATAACAATTCACAAGATAAGAATAGATGACATCACAAGTTACAAGAGAAGAATGGATGATTTCACAACTCACAAGATAAGAATAGATGATATCACAACTCACAAGATAAGAATAGATGACATCACAACTCACAAGATAAGAATTGATGATATAACTCACAAGATAAGAATAGATGATATCACAACTCACAAGATAAGAATAGATGATATATCACAACTCACAAGATAAGAATAGATGACATCACAACTCACACGATAAGAATTGATGATATCACAACTCACAAGATAAGAATAGATGATATATCACAATTCACAAGATAAAATAGACGATGTCACAATTTACAAGATAAGACTAGATAATATCAAAATTCACAAGATAAGAATTGATGACATCACAACTCACAAGATAAGAATAGATGATATCACAACTCACAAGATAAGAATAGATGACATCACAACTCACAAAATAAGAATAGATGATATCACAACTCACAGGATAAGAATTGATGATATCACAACTCACAGGATAAGAATTGATGATATCACAACTCACAAGATAAGAATAGATAATATCACAATTCACAAGATAAGAATTGATGACATCACAACTCACAAGATAAGAATAGATGACATCACAACTCACAAGATAAGAATAGATGATATCACAACTCACAGGATAAGAATAGATGATATCACAACTCACAAGATTAGAATAGATGATATCACAATGTACAAGATAAGAATAGATAATATCACAATTCACAAGATAAGAATTGATTATATCACTTAATTCACAAGATAAGAATAGACGATATCAAAATTTACAAGATAAGAATAGATAATATCACAATTCACAAGATAAGAATTGATGATATCACAACTCACAAGATAAAATTGACGATATCACAATTCACAATATAAGAACATATGTGATCACAAAATAAGAATGATAATATGTCGCAACTTACTGGAAAGTAACGCCACAGTTAAATTCTAGCTATGATTTTATAAACTTGTGAAATACATTTCATAGTTGAAAGAGTTTCTAATTAAACATATATTTCTAATGTTTTAACAAGTTCTGATGTATTCACTATCTGTTCCTATACTGTAGTAAGTCGTGTCCGAACTAAACTCAACTTCTCAAGTCAAGTCTAAGATTGCTGTGCATAGGACTCAAAAGTTAAGAAGGAATGGGGGGTTGAACATTTTGTAGATTTAAATTATATTAACAAGTATTTGTTTTTTTTTCGATCAAACAAATTTTTCTCCCTCCCTCCCTTAAAAAAATACATAAGTCTGATATAGCTGGTAAGTTTCTATTTGAATATATAGGATTACCCATAAAAGAAGAAACTTCATGGACACTGTGCAGAATTATATGTATATATGTATATACTGTAAGTATTTGTGTAATGCAACTAATTGTAAACATGCTTTTTTGTTGCTAAATATTACTTAAAACCGAGGCAGAAACCAAATTTCTTCCTTCAGATCAATAAAGTATCTTTCTTTATGGGTAACCCTGTATATTACATATGTTTACTGTATAGTGTATAGTGGATAGTTTGTATGTGTAATATATATATATATATCTGTTAACATTAAATATATATAATGATAGATTTAATGAACATAAAAAATGTCGGAAAATCAAAAACTACGAGTCCTTATATATATATGCCATCTTATAGTACCAAACTCAACATTTCTAATCCCCCGATGGTGTAAATCTTAGATTTTCAATCTTACACATTTGATCTAGATAGCATTTATAATTTAAAATATCAAAGGTCTACAACATAAGGTTGATAAGATATGAGATTATAAAATCAGAGTTTGGCAAATTACTTTACAGTTTATTCAGTTTCATAATCATTTTTTTTTTCAAAATCCAACCATTAGTTTGACTGGTCAGGCCTTACATCAATTGTATAGGGATTTAATGCACAATTTTAATTTACAGATTAAGGAAATTTTTTTAAGAATATTTTTTTATTCTGCCTCTGACCTTTAGTATTTGGTTCAACCGTTTCAGGTTTCAAAATTATTCACGCAGAGTATAGTCTAAATAATATATTTATTACTAAGCTTTTAGCGCGCTTCGCGCCTATCTTCTATTTAAATTGTGAACATGTTATTTTTGTTTACATTTTAAAACAAAGAAGAAAAAAATGTTGCGGATTTTTAAAAAAAAAATTCGCGGATTATCAAGAATTTAAACTTTTTTATAAAATGAAAAACCTTTAAAACACATCTTTTCAAATTGGTATCATTCATAAACCTTTCCTGTGGTTACGTGATGTCCCACAAAAAATTTGGGCCCGATCGGTTCAGCCTTTTTAACGTTTATTGAATACAAACAAACAGACAGACAAACAGACAGACAAGCCAAATTTATATATAGATACAATATTTAATCATCTCTGTTTCATGCTAAACTAAGCTTTTGGTGCGTCTCTGACCGAAGAAATATGGAATTTCAGTGGAGAGTGGGTTGTTTGCCATGTTTGTATGTCCGATGATTATAAATCTCTAGACCGATTACCCTAAAATTTTGATTGATGGAGAACTATGAAAATGTTCTTAACTTGGTTTAAAGGTTCTAAGTTGAGTAGGTTGACTTGTATAGCAAAAGTTGTATTTCCATGCAAAGATGGGTTTCCGAGCCACCCCGGACTAACCAGAGTGAGAGGCGTTCGGTTTCGTCTATTTAAAGTCACATGCGTTTTGGTCTATAATTAAGCAATGTATAAACTTACGGATTTGTTTGTTTAATACTTTTCATTCAAAAAGTATATGTCAGCAAAAAAACATATCTGAAAAAAGGCAAAAAAAATTATGTTTAATAGGTCGAATTGTGATTGAAAGTCACAGCTTTCTGGAATATTAATAGAACCAAGTGAAGCTAGTCGTATAGAAATTTTTGAGCAATTTAATACTTTTGATAGTTCTATAATGGAATAATGGTAATCTATATATATATTGCACTGGAACCCCTTCCCCCCGTCTCCGTCGGAAATATGGCAACCTTTTCGTGAATATACATGAATCTTAATAACCAGACCTAAAATAGTTTATGAATTCTGTTAAAGACCAAATAGCCGCATGGTTTGAAATATCAAAGGTTTACATCATGTTGCAAAGATACGTGGTCTTGTAAAATTGAAAATGTGAGTTTGTGGCTTAAATCAGTTCCTTCACAGAGCTGAAATTTACTTAAAGTTCGAAATGTCAAAGCTCTACGAAATCAGGTTAAAAAAATATAGGACCTAGAAAATCAGAAATTGATGCAAAACTTCATTTTTTTAGCAAAATGTTCACATATTTTAGCAAAATGTTCACATATTTTAGCAAAATGTTCACATATTTTCTGACTCTTTAAAAAAGTAAATGGAATTTTTTAATAACTCTTTTTTAAAATGTATAATCTTGTAAATTATTTAGCAATATATGATATGAAATGATATTGTTATCAGTAGGATTTTTAATAAAAACCTTATCTTTCTGCTTTATTCAGTTAGAAGTCGATTATCAGGATAAATACCAGGAAATCATTCTTACAATGAAACCCAATTTATGCGATGCATAAAAACTCTTATTTTCAACTCAATTTTCAATTTATTTTTCACAACTATACGTTTAAGGTTTAAACTTTAACTAAGTATCAGTGATAAGCATATTTTTGCTCTTCCTTCAAAAAAAGTTAAACCGTGATAGGGAAAAAGAAAAAGAAAAAGAAAAAGGAAAAGAAAAAGAAAAAGAAAAAGAAAAGAAAAAGAAAAAGAAAACGAGTTAAATGATTTTCCAATCATACTTTTAATATTTAGATTCTTCAAAAGTTAATACTAATCAAATTCTTTTTTTGTTCTCGCTCGTCAGTTCATCCTTGCTCCTAAATTTGCATTTTAAAAAGGATTTTTTATAGCTTAAATCTGGAAATATTAGTTTTGTAACACCTTCGACTTGGTGTTCAGAAAAATGTTTTACAGTTCAGGAGGTAAGTAATTTTTTTACTTTAAACATAAGCAAAATTTTTCTTAAATTCTTAAGTCTTTAAAAAATACAAGAATTTAAGATAGAAGGATAAAACAAATTGCTTGTGAAAAAAGGGAACATTAAACTCAACACGATTTTTAAATAATTAAATTTTGGCATTAATTTTAATTAACTGAAGGGGGTGGTTATCATAAAATGGGCTTTATTGACGATTAGAAAGGTTTCTGAAAGCAACGTTTCAAATTATCCTTAACATTTTATTGAACAGTTTGGTTCTAAGCAAGCTGCAGTGACTTACAATCAAAATTTTACCAAATAAATTTGATTTTTTCGTTTCTCTTATTTTTACTTTTTTGATGTTGGATGCATTTTTGAAGAAAAAAGAAATAGAGCAACTCTCATTATAGATTTAAGAATTGTTAAAATAAAGACCAAAAAATCTATCAATTTCAAATTGACGAAAACGACCGAATCTATATCCGGTTAGTCCAACGTGGTCTGACTACTCTAATGACTTGTCTAGCATAATAGCAGTTACTAGCAGAATAGCGCAAGGATAATCCGCCGGAGAGAAACCGGTTCTGCAAACCCAAACTTTTAGGCTCCGAAAAGGACGGATTATTACAAGTTGTCGACGGCTAAAAGTAGTAGGACAGAGTAGGATAGTAGGACAGAGTAGGATAGTAGGACAGAGTAGGATAGTAGGACAGAGTAGGATAGTAGGACAGAGTATAATAAACTGAGTTTGGGGCCACCAAGTCTCATTTATCTTTCCAACTAGATTTAATTTATTTTTAATAGAAACTGTGTAAGATAAAATAGTCTAAATTTTCAATATCAATGGTTTACACCATTAGGCTGCAAATGTATAGTGATTACAGAATTAGAGTTTGTGACATTCACGTTCCTTGCCCAATCTTTTAACCCATCAATTAGGTTCTGATTTAAAAGAGATTTAATGAATGGAGAGAATAAGTCCAACTAGATCTACCTAGTTGAACTAACTCGCTATTTATTAGTTTCGACCTCTGATTGTTAATCCAGGGTTTGTGTTCCTGGTTCTGTTAACACGGATCTCAGGAAAACAATGGGATGATCCTTGGATTACCCCGACTGGGAAAACCAGCCTAAATGGGTAATATTGTAAAAGAAAATATATTGTTTTTAACAGCATTCTTTTATTAAGGGTTCACATTGATTACAAACGTAAATTATGTTTGAAAAGGATTTGCCAGCATGATGCCACTGAATAGTTTTTATCTGAAAACGTAGAAATCCCTCGGGGTGTACATGCCTTAATGTAAGGTAACTACACTCTTCAGAGATTGGACTAAACTGATCCGGCGCGGCGATGTCTAATAAATATTTAATATATTAAAAAGTTTTGGTTTTCCGATTTTTTAAAATAGATCTGACGAACATATAGAAAAGTATTTTTCAAGAGATAGTATAAACACCCATACAATTAAATACAATTCCTTAGAATACACTGGGTTTCTTAGTTTACATTGAATGAAACTATTTCTTATCTCCAGACAGAGAATTTTTATATAAGTTTTTGCAAATGATTTAATGAGTATTTATTTTAGGGATAAATTGACTTTTCCTGAGAGCCCTGAATTAGAATCAGGTAATTTTTTAAATGAATTAAATGTAATTTTTAGTAAAATTAAAAGAAACTCCGATTTTCTACTTAAAATTATATATCCTTGCAACCAGGGTGTAGAAGACCTTTGATATTTCAAACTATAAATATATAGTGTTAGACCATTTGGGTTTGTGGCAACAATTCAGTTTCATTGTGTCGTGTTGGATATTGTATAGATAGATAGATAAAAACAAATATCTTTTAATCACCTCTAACTATAATATTCCAGATCCTTCTTTCTTTGAAATTTGATGTTGTAGACCCCTTGACAAATTAAATAATAAATTATGCCAGACCAAATAGTGAAGGTTTAAATATGCCAAACGTTTATGCCATTTGGTTGCAAAGATACTGGGATAAAAACTACAGTCTAAACTCTGAGGCTACTATCAGTTTTTTTATTTATACCATTTGTTAACATTTAATTTCAAATATTACTGTGGCAAGTCAATTTTTAAAAGTAATCACATAAAAAGCAAATGCATGTCAAATGTATCAAATCTTTTACAGTTAAGATATTAGCAAGTAGATTCTTCATTTCTTTTATAGTTTATAAAAACATACTTTATTGTTTTTGCACAGTTTTAGACAGGATTGCTGTCTTCTATATACAAGCATACTTTATTGTTTTTGCACAGTTTTAGACAGGATTGCTGTCTTCTATATACAAGCATACTTTATTGTTTTTGCACAGTTTTAGACAGGATTGCTGTCTTCTATATACAAGTTTTCTATTAATCGACTTATATTCATTAAAATAATAATTAGTAGAAAAAAATAAAATAGCTAAAATAGGTAAAAAGGAATCTCATCCAAAAAAATCAGACTGTCAGTTCAAGATATATGTTTCGATACAAATAAAAGATGAACAAAAAGAAAAAAGAAAAACTAAATTTAATAATATAAAGGCAAAACCAGGTTTTTCATAGAAGTTTTTCATTAATCGACTTATTTTTATTAAAATGAAGACTCGTAGACAAAACAAAATGTTTTTTTTCTGCTTAGGAAGCGATATCGCTGTTCTGCATTACACTGACACGGAACCCCCGAATATTCTGTAAGTAATCAAAATAAAATAATTTGACTTATTTATACCTTATTTTGAAAACATTGTTTTTGTTCATTTATACGTGTTTGCCACAAACTCAAATTTTCTAATCTTGCAACCTGATGGTGTAAACCTTTGATATTTCAAACTTGGATGACTTTATTATTCCTAATTTGAAATATCTGAGGTCTCCGACATTGGGTTGCAATGGTATAGGGATTATAAAGTCTAAGTTTATGCATACAAAGACTCAAATTTTTTATCACTAGAGCTAGGTGTGTGAACCTCCACTGAAGCCTGTTATGATTCAAAATTGTTTAGGTGTGAGTCAGGTGCAAAGAATCCTTGTCTCTACCTGTATCTATATACTGAGGAGCTGCAGGACGGAACCATCTTTCTCCGGACTAATACATCCTTTGGTAATTTATCTTTATATGGATTGGTTACCTACAACTCTGATGAGACAAGACAACTTTTAAGATTAAAATGAGGGTTCGATGGTTTTGAAAAGAGGAGATTATCATGAAAATATCAATATTCATTCAGCTGGGACCGAATTTAATGAAGTTGCGGGGTCCCTGAACAGCCTTCTTCTGGTTCAAATTGGAATCACCCATTAAATTCTTTCTTGAATCTTCAACTTAATCTGTGGTTCAAATTTGAATCGAGAATTCAGCCACGTAGCTCAAATTCATTAAACTCGGTCCTTGATGTGATGAGAAATTTTTGCAAAATATTTTTTTGCTGAGAGCGAAGAGACCAGTGAATTCTTTATTTACAGTATAAAAATCATAATAAGAATCATTCATACAGTGTTTAACAGATCCTTTCATTTTGTTGCTTCTCAACACATACAACAATCATAATTAAAATAAATTAATGTGGTTTTAAGGTGACATTCTTTTATGTCCTTTAGGGTTTCCAACATAATAGATTATTCTCTTACGCGTAATTACGTGCAGTTACGCGTAATAATTTTCATTTCGTGTAATTTCTTATAATTATTTCTGAGAATTAATATGTACTTTATTTATTACGGAATTGTTACGTAATACGTAATTTCGCGTAATTACGCCTTAATTACGCGAAACTAGACTTTCTTTCGTAAACGTAATATATGCGTATTTACGCGTAATTCTCCTGCGTAAGTGAAAGAAAGTGTTACGTTTCGTTACGCGTAATTACGCGTAACGAAATTACGACTGGAAACCCTAATGTCCTTACCTGAATAAGTATTACAGTGGTGGTGTATTTTTCGACCTACGCAAATCCGCTATACTCCACTTCTGATCTACGCCAAATCCGCTATATTACACATCCGACCTACAAGCACGTGGTTTTACAACTGTTATATGGACTTGTGGCCGCAACGCCCGGCCCCCTAGCTTGTCTTAACCACTGCGCTCGGCCCCCTAGCCTGTCCTAGCCGCAGCGCTCGGCCCAGAAATTGTCTTAACCTAACCTAAGCCTCAAATAATGCAAAAATAAACAGCTGGCGTAGGCCCGATATTGCAGTAGGTCGGAAAGTTAGTATGTCAGAAGTTCAGTAGGGGGGATGTTGCGTATAGACGATGTAGCATTACCTTTTTTACCATTAAAGTTTCAACTTTTAACTCTTACTCTTCAAGTTCATTGTACTATGCAATAAACAAAAATTTTATTGGATTTTTCTGTTTCTATCACTTCTTTTTTTTAATAATTAATAGTTTTTGTTAAATAGTTAATAGTTTTTTTCCAGGCCAAAGTTGTCTTAGATCTTACATTCCATAAACCTTACATGAGGTCGTATTAGATTTTACATTCCATAAACCTTCCATAAGGTCATATTAGATTTTACATTTCATAAACCTTCCATGATGTCATATTAGATTTTACATTCCATAAACCTTCCATGAGGTCATATTAGATTTTACATTCCATAAACCTTCCATGAGGTCATATTAGATTTTACATTCTATAAACCTTCCATGAGGTCATATTAGATTTCACATTCTATAAACCTTTCAAGATGTCATATTAGATTTTACTTTCCATAAACCTTCCATGATGTCATATTAGATTTTACATTCCATAAACCTTCCATGAGGTCATACTAGATTTTACATTCCATAAACCTTCTATGATGTCATATTAGATTTTACATTCCATAAACCTTCCATGAGGTCATATTAGATTTTACATTCCATAAACCTTCCATGAGGTCATATTAGATTTTACATTCCATAAACCTTCCATGATGTCATATTAGATTTTACATTCCATAAACCTTCCATTTTGTCATATTAGATTTTACATTCCATAAACCTTCCACGAGGTCATATTAGATTTTACATTCCATAAACCTTCCATGATGTCATATTATATTTTACATTCCATAAACCTTCCATGATGTCATATTAGATTTTACATTCCATAAACCTTCCATGATGTCATGTTAGATTTTACATTCCAAAAACCTTCCATGAGGTCATGTTAGTTTCTGAAATGTTATCTTTGATAAAAGAGGCCTTAAAGAGAATTAGATTTGGATTTAATTTTATGATCAAATTTATTGTAATAGATCTTAATCTTTTTTTTTTTAGATTTTGAGAATTCTTCACTCGTGTTTCCGGACCCTGGTAAACCAGTAAAGATAGCTCTCGCGGGATTTACTGAAAATAATTGTAACAACGCGATCAAACCCTGCAAATCTGTGAGTAATCTTTTATTTCTAAGTTGTTTCAACAATATTCACCAAATTAGAGTTAAAGAGTAACTCAAGCTGAAGTGTATTACTGCGGTTATTTTAGGGATCGCTCACAAGATAAACACAATCCCAATTTTTGTCCAATAAGAACACAACTCAGACAATTTTAATTGTCTCTAAACTCTGGATAGTGTCAAAGTGTTCACCGTGTTTTTTTACCTTTTCACAAATTCGGTACCAGAGAGATTTAAATTTAGCTAAGTGTTTTATTAATTGTGTTACAAATACTATCATTTTTGCAGCTTGCTATATAGAAATCTTTGTGCTTTAAAATAGGCTTATTCATATTCATTTTTCCAAAATGTGGGGTATTATTTGTTTTTCAAAATAGGTAAATAATTCCTTTAAAATGACATGTATGTCTGTCATTACTCACTGATAAATTTATTTCAGATTTATCTTAAGATAGAGAACATTAATGATGTTAAACCCAAGTATATAACTCCCCCACCGTCAAGGTTTGAATTATTTTTTATTTGATTTTTTATAGAAAAATGGTTTAAATTTTTTTTGGATGATATGAAGACCAGATCCTACTTGAAATGTAGTCAAAATATTTTAGACTAGACTAGATTAGATCATTTATATATATTTATACAGGCTAGTGTGCTAAGACTGGTTAGGTGGCTAGGACAGACAAAGGGGATAAGACAGGTTAGGTGGCTAGGACAGACAAAGGGGATAAGACAGGTTAAGTGGCTAGGACAGATAAAGGGGATAAGACAGTAAGGTGGCTAGGACAGATAAAGGGGCTGAAACAGGATAGGTGGCTAGGACAGACTAAGGAAATAAGACAGGTAAGGTGGTTAGGACAGACTAAGGGGCTAAGACAGGTTAGGTGGCTAGGACAGACAAAGGAAATAAGACAGATTAGGTGGCTAGGACAGGTGAGGTGGCTAGGACAGAAAAAGGGGCTGAAACAGGATAGGTGGCTAGGACAGACAAATGGGATAAGACAGATTAGGTGGCTAGGACAGACAAAGGGAATAAGACAGGTTAGGTGGCTAGGACAGACTAAGGGGATAAGACAGGTTAGGTGGCTAGGACAGACTAAGGGAATAAGACAGGTTAGTTGGCTAGGACAGACTAAGAGAATAAGACAGGTTAGGTGGCTAGGACAGACAAAGAGAATAAGACAGGTTAGGTGGCTAGGACAGACAAAGAGAATAAGACAGGTAAGGTGGCTAGGACAGACTAAGGAAATAAGACAGGTAAGGTGGTTAGGACAGACTAAGGGGCTAAGACAGGTTAGGTGGCTAGGACAGACAAGACAGGTAAGGTGGCTAGGACAGACTAAGGAAATAAGACAGGTAAGGTGGCTAGGACAGACTAAGGGGCTAAGACAGGTTAGGTGGCTAGGACAGACAAAGGAAATAAGACAGATTAGGTGGCTAGGACAGACTAAGGGGCTAGGACAGGTTAGGTGGCAAGGACAGAAAAAGGGGCTGAAACAGGATAGGTGGCTAGGACAGACAAATGGGATAAGACAGAATAGGTGGCTAGGACAGACTAAGGGAATAAGACAGGTTAGGTGGCTAGGACAGACTAAGGGCTATGACAGGTTAGGTGGCTAGGAAAAGTTAGAAGGCTAGGTCAAGCTTATAGGGTGATTGAAGAAGCTAGAAGGCTAGGACAGATTAGGACAGGCTTGGGAACTAGATTACTCTGGGGGGCACTTTGTAATTATTATTTACCATTTTAAAATATTTGTCAGTGTATTGATGATCCCGGAGAACACGATGAATGAAAGTATGTTTGTTGTTGAAGCAGAAGATACTGAATTCCAAGATGGAATATTGAATATCTCCATCAAGTCATCGGTAAACTTTATTCTTTATAAATCCTTTAGCTTTAATTCCAAGATGGAATATTGGATATCTCCATCAAGTCATCGGTAAACTTTATTCTTTATAAATCCTTTAGCTTTAATTCCAAGATGGAATATTGGTTATCTTCATCAAGTCTTCGGTAAACTTTATTCTTTATAAATCCTTTAGCTTTAATTCCAGTGAAATTGTTAAATGGTTAAAATTTCGTTTTTCAGGATGCTGATTTGCCATTTGCATTCAAAAGGATTGAAAATTTAAATAAATGGAGTTTTGGAACCACCAAAGAACTTGATTTTGAAACTGTCCGCTCCTTCATTTTGACTGTGGTGCTTCAGGTGACAAAACTTAATTGTTTGATAATTTGGTAGATTATAGTTTTAGATACAAAGCATTAAAACGATTTCTATCACAGAAACCACGTTTGGAATTCTTACTCTTGATTTGCCAAACTTAGTTTAAAAAGTGATTCAAAAGTTCTGGCTTCTGTAAGATTTTGTATTTCAGGATGGACCTGATAGGTTTGGTAATGTTTTAACATCTGCCTTTGACTACACAATAACGATACAAGTGACAGATGAAGGGGATAGGGATCCAATATGGCAGCTAATCTGTCAACCGAAGTCAATTCAAGAAAACTTTGAAGTTGTAAGAATATCTTTTTTATTATCTTAATATTAATCTTGAAATTATAAAAAGAAAAAATCTGCAAAAAAAAATATTATTATAAGTTTATGAATATACAATTGAGATCAATATATGTCTTCGAGAAAAACTGAACCAAGAATTATATTATTTATTTCGAGTTTATAAACATTTTTTAACTTTTAGGGAACTGAGATTTTTCGAGTTCGTGCCCAAGATGCAGATGCTGGAATCCAGAATTCTATCGAATATAAAATTGAAAGTGTTACAAATTCTAAACATGACTTTATAGATTACTTTGAGTTGACGGTTGAAGGCGATATAGCTGTTATAAAAGCTAATAAAACTATGGACCGAGAGAATGAATTGATTCAGGAGAATTATAATTTCTTCTTTACCCTCAGTGCAAGGTAATCTTTTAATGTCGTAAAAAAACTTTAAATTTTTTTTTGTATTATTTATGTTTCTTTACGTCGAAGAGATAAGCGCTCTTTAGTCTTTACAATCAATATTTTGTACCTTTATAATATCTAATATTTCAGGAAATATATAATTTACTCTAAGAAAAATTAGGATCCATGGAAAGTTTAACCTCCCCGAGGGATTCAATGATAATCAGTGTTATTCATTGCACACTTGATCTGTAAATAATGCATCTATTATTAAGTTCTAAAACAATTAATTTTAAATTCGTAAAATTAAAAATATCAGATAGAAAATTTGCAAAAAAACATATCTATAGTGTTTTTGAAAGAAAAAGTAGGGCGGACAAGGTTAATAATGTTGCTTAGAATGAAATCAAATTCTGACTATAATTCGAAAGATATATGTCTTTCTTTCAACACTTTGGATGCTTTGGCCCTGTATAGAAAAGCATCAAAAGTATAATTTGAAAGCATCAAAATCAACATTTGAAAGCATCAAAAGCAACAAGCAATAAAATTTATTGCCTAATAGTTCCTCATTCGGTTGTAAAACAAAATTAAAGAAATCCTCCATTTTTCTGCTCAAAAATAATTTTTGATACATTTAAGAAAAATCCCTAGAGGCAAGAGAGGAAGAAGATGCATTACCCCCCCCCCCCTTGATCCTTTTTGGAACAAAATGATTCAGGATATCAAAATTGCCAAACTTCTTAACAGTTTGCTCGAAAAAGAAAATAGTTAATGGCCTAAAATTAGAAATTAATGGACACTTTCTTAAGGCTGTACTACACTTAAAAAAAAAATTATTGAGGGAATTTAAATCTTACTCTTAACAGAAAAGAAAACATTAATATGAAATGCTTACTTTGTCATTTTTTTTGACTAAGCAATAAACATTCTAATAAAAAACAAATTCTGCATACTACTCTGTAGTGTAGTGATATTGATACAACTATTTAGTGAAGTAGACAGCTGTGTAGAACACTGTACTTCACCTCCTCTACCCTGTAGAATGATACTAGAGGTATTTATATCATTTATATCAGTGTAATCTTGCCAGGGTTAATTCTTTGCATCGACTTTACACTTGGTAGTCCAGACTGGAAAGTACGAATGAATGCATATACAGTACATGTTGTATACCGGCTTGGATCATGCTGCGATTGAAGCATTATATATCCGTATTTCTTGAATTCAAAATGTATTGTGAGGCCCACTGAAGTTTCTTATTACCTCTTGGGCAAGTTGTGCACTGCACTGTAAAGCATTAAGCAAAAGCATCCATAGAAGTTTACGGGAAAATGGGACGGCACATCAAATAGATCATCCCACCTCAATAGTAAGATTAATGTTGAGGGGGTCCGGTTGGTTGGACTGAGAAATATGACAAGGGTAGGTGAGACGAGAGGAGTGCCCACTGCACATAGAAGGCGTGGGGAGGAGAAATTATAGAACGAAGGAAGTGTTTGGAACGGGAGGGATGGAGAGGCATAGTTGATAAGGAAGTCAGGGAAGGGACACTTATAAAGGATACTAACTTCATAATTTAATGCTATCCAAGAATGCTGATTAAGAATGCTGATTAAAATGAGAATTATGAATGCTATCTAAGAATGCTAACCAATAATGCTAATTAAGAATGCTAATTAAGAATGCTAATTAAGAATGCTAATTAAGAATGCTAATTAAGAATGCTAACTAAGAATGCTAATTAAGAATGCTAATTAAGAATGCTAATTAAGAATGCTAATTAAGAATGCTAATTAAGCCTGCTAATTAAAAATGCTAACTAATTAAGAATGCTAATTAAGAATGCTAATTAAGAATGCTAACTAAGAATGCTAATTAAGAATGCTAATTAAGAATGCTAATTAAGAATGCTAATTAAGAATGCTAATTAAGCCTGCTAATTAAAAATGCTAACTAATAATGCTAATTAAGAATGATAATTAAGAATGCTAATTAAGATTGTTAACTAAGAATGCTAATTAAGAATGCTTATTAAGAATGCTAATTAAGAATGCTAATTAAGAATGCTAATTAAGAATGCTAATTATGAATGCTAACCAATAATGCTAATTAAGAATGATAATTAAGAATGCTAATTAAGAATGCTATCCAAGAATGGTAATTAAGAATGCTAATTATGAATGCTAATTATGAATGCTAATTAAGAATGATAATTAAGAATGCTAATCAAGAATGCTAATTAAGAATGTTAACTAAGAATGCTAATTAAGAATGCTAATTAAGAATGCTAACTAAAAGAATGCTAATTAAGAATGATAATTAAGAATGCTAATTAAGAATGCTAATAAAGAATGCTAATTAAGAATGCTAATTAAGAATGAATGCTAATTAAGAATGCTAACTAAGAATGCTAATTAAGAATGCTAACTAAGAATGCTAATTAAGAATGCTAACTAAGAATGCTAACTAAGAATGCTAATTAAGAATGCTAACTAAGAATGCTAACTAAGAATGCTAATAAAGAATGCTAACTAAGAATGCTAATTAAGAATGCTAATGATAACGGACCTATTATCGCTGAGAAGTCCTACAACACCACCGTACAGGAGAATACACTTGATTTTATTTTTGAGTAAGTTTTGATCATTTTTTAAATAAAAAGATTTCTTTTTCATATTGATTAGATTTTCTAATTTTGATTTAATTTAGTATTGCAATATTTGATATAGATCAATCAGATAACTACTTTAATCAGTTTAGAGGTAAACAACTTTTTTATTATAAAATAAAAATGAAGCTCTGTACAGAAATATCGGATGGAAATCAAAGTAGTAGCAATCGATATGTTTAAGGTTTATCTTATTCCCCCCGCATTCTACACATAATTGAGTTCTAATTACTTCAAAGTAAGATATTTTGTCTAAATGTTGACGGCGTCTATGTATATCCTCTGTGTCACAAAATATGTGGCCAGTGTCCGAATTTTATGAATTTAAGCCGCGTCTCAAATCCCACAAAAACCGGTTTCAATTGAGCGCCAGCAAAAATCTTGAAAAATTTAATACAATTTAAAGTGGAACCAACCATATTTAAGCCGCGGCTCAAATTCTTCAAATTCGGCTTAGAATTAGGGTTTCTAGTGAAATGGAAAAATCGCTTCACAAAAATTTGTTGTTTGGCCGAATATTTGTTGTTCGGGAGAATATTTGTTGTTTATATTGCACGAAGAAAATTTCTAATGGCTGGTTGGATCTGGGTGAACGAACCTTGACTGACAGATAGATACAGTTAGTCGAAATTTTTCTTTTTAATTTAACAATTAAAATGAAAATAATTAACATTTATTTTAGTTGAAATTGTCGATGAGAATATTGCAAACAAATTTGAAATTAATCCTGCAGAAACAGAGGTTACTTTTTACACATTTTGTTAGAAATTAATCCTGCAGAAACAGAGGTTACTTTTTACATATTTTGTTAGAAATTAATCCTGCAGAAACAGAGGTTACTTTTTACATATTTTGTTTGAAATTAATCCTGCAGAAACAGAGGTTACTTTTTACATATTTTGTTAGAAATTAATCCTGCAGAAACAGAGGTTACTTTTTACACATTTTGTGAGAAATTAATCCTGCAGAAACAGAGGTTACTTTTTACACATTTTGTTAGAAATTAATCCTGCAGAAACAGAGGTTACTTTTTACACATTTTGTTAGAAATTAATCCTGCAGAAACAGAGGTTACTTTTTACACATTTTGTTAGAAATTTCACACTGTTACAAATTTAAACAAAAATTAAAGATATGTTGGTACAGTGGGAATCATATCACTGTGTATAAGGAAGACGACTCTTAGACTAAGTTTTTAAACAGTCCAATAAATATAAAACATAGCAGTTTTGCAGTGTACACAGACCCAGTTTAGTTTCAAGCTACCTATATTACTATTTGCTTTACCACAACATCAAATGCACATAAGATTCTTTAAATATAGTCTTATATTCAAAGTTTTATGAACCCTACTGTACAATGCAAAAGATTGTATATTGTCCTAGAACTAAACCTCAAAAATTTGCTGCTTAAATCCTGAAAATGTGGAAATATTTTAATAAATATATTAATGTTTCTTTCTACTTTTATTTGTTTTAAACTCTCACATATTATTCAACCCTTGTATCGCAGGGTAACAGAACTGTTAGAATACGATGCAATCAAGAAGGGTATTTAGATTATGAAACAAAGGAATCAATAAAGTTCATGGTAATTAAACATATAAATCAAATGTTAAGGATTTTAAAATTATAAATTTTAAGAATATATTTTTAGATTAGAGCAACTGATAAAAACAATGATAGCTTGTTTTCTGAAGCTGAGCTTGAAATTTTTCTAACTGATGAGAATGACAATATTCCTAAATTTGAGGAAGATGTTTATGAACTAAATGTTTCTGAAGATCTAAGCAGCCTTGTCGAGGATGAAAATGGACACTATTTAGGGAAGCACATACACATTTTTTTTGATTGACATTTTTAAAAACAAAGATTCATTTCATGAATGAAAAAGTATGTAAAAAATCATGACTTAAGGAAATCTTTGAATGTTAAAAGTTTCTGATACGTTTTGCTTAGACTGTATTAAGCATCAACAATTTTACTCCATATTCCGTTTTGTGATTTTTATCATAGAATATATTTATTGAATTATTTGCATATCAGCTGAGTGTTGTAGGGTTGATCCTGCAAGCTACTGACCAGGATAAGTCTGATGAGTTTGGAACTATGAGCCTGGTTTACTCTCTACAGGGTGAACCGAACAATGTTTTAATTATTGAAGAACCCGACCAGAACGGGTTTCCTCAAGGCAAACTTTATGCAACAGGAAAGTTTGACTTTGAAACTTCTCCAATCATTTCATTCCAGGTATTTACTTATTTATTTTATATTTTTGTTCTAGCCAAGATCTTAACTTAGATTCTATCAATTTTAACTTTAAATTACATTTTGAGACATATTTTAAACCTGATTCCAAAATCATTGTTATCAAATTGTATTTTTAGGCAATTGTAAAAGACAACAAGGGTTCAGTTTCAAATGAAAATAAAGTCGATATTACATTAATCATTGAAGATCGAAATGATGAATTGCCCAGCTTTGAAACCTTTCCAGACGTAAGTAAACCCAAATTACGAAATACAAAATATTTTGTCTGAGTTTGAACAGTTTTATGATTAGGACGTGATGTGTGTTTATGAGAACAGTCCTGAATTCTGGCCTGAAGGTCTAGACTGTGACCCGGAGAAGATCATATTTACAGGAATTGATCCTGATGCGTCAGCAAGCTTGATCATCTCTATAAACTGGGATGGATCAAGTGCTACTAAAAACAATATTAAAGTTGATGATCCAAACCTGTACAGAGATACATTTATAATCAAACAGGAGTTGAGGTCGAAAACTGTTACAGCTACTCTTGGAGTCAGTCCAACTAAGTTTATTGATAAAGAAACGGTTGATTTATTGACCCTGGAGATCGTTGTTACAGATCAGGTTAGGGCAATTAACAACAACATTAATTTAAAGGGACTGTAATCTTATTTTCAAGGGACCCTCCATCCAAACAGGGCAATGCCCAACCTACAAAACCTTTGACAGAGAATGGTCTCTTAAATATGTTTAAAATTGACGGATCTGAGGGGTATGCTGGCAAACAGATCTGAGGGGTATGCTGGCAAACAGATCTGAGGGGTATGCTGAGGGGTATGCTGGCAAACAGATCTGAGGGGTATGCTGGCAAACAGATCTGAGGGGTATGCTGGCAAACAGATCTGAGGGGTATGCTGGCAAACAGATCTGTTAACTTCTGTTCATTTCAACCCGCTAGAACAAGCTGTAAAATTGACGGATCTGAGGGGTATGCTGGCAAACAGCTCTGTTAACTTCTGTTCATTTCAACCAGCTAGAGCAAGCTGTAAAATGCTCATCCAGTCTACAGAGGGAGGGAGTCCAGAGTTCCTCAAATAGTAATCACCGCCACCCAAATCTGTTTTGCGGCAAGCGCGCTCCTCAATTGGTAATCTCCACCACCTCAATTAGTAATCACCGTAAAATTTTGTATTCTGTGATTTGAATTTAATGCACTTTTAACACAATTTTTGACATCTATCGGGGTTTTAGGGCATCTGTGTTGACTTAAACTAAATTTTCAAATTATTTTCAGATTTGTTTGGTCAACAAAAACTGAGAATCAAAGCACAGTTCATTTTAGCCGAATCTTAGATCCAATTCGCCACTTTAATGACTGCATTTCATGATTGGCGTCAAGATACAAAAAAGGTCGGGCTGCCTGTTTACTAAAAATTATCTCATCGCGCCCAAAGTAATATCAATCTCCATTTAAAAGATATTTTCAAAAAACCTTTACAGTGTTTAGATTTTTGTATTCGCCTACTCGAGTTCAACATCTACAACAAAACTAATTTTATGCATTGAAAGAACATAAAATTTTGAAAAATTAGTCTCATCACATAAACTACTGAAAATGAAGTATTTAGTCCACTAATAATGGGTTAAAGTTTCCTCTCTATATAAGGAGTTGAAAACAACATTCAGAGGAAAATGCCGCAAACATTCTTAAAGCGAAACTTGAAACTAAAAAACGTAATATATTTCTAGCACTTAGTGTGACATATTTATAGATTTATTTTCGAAACTAAGGAGCAATAAAGAAAGCTTTAACAATATTGTACACCATAGGGCCATTAAAAGAGGTCAATATAATCTTATTTCTAAGAAATAAACGATTTAATTTTATGCTTTTTTGGGCTGATTACTATTTGAGGTGGTGGAGATTACCAATTGAGGAGTGCGCTTGCCGCAAAACAGATTTGGGTGGCGGTGATTACTATTTGAGGAACTCTGGACTCCCTCCCTCGTCTACATAAGGCATTTATTCCGAACAAAAATTTTATGTTCTTAAAATTGAATATTAACCGTTTTAAAATTTAAAACAACGTGCAAGCGTTTCTATAGTTTCATTAGATAAATATAAGAATAAGTTCGTGATCATTTCATAGGTTTAAAGGGACTATTGTTAATTGAATGGTAACTTGAAATTACGCCTACTGTCCCTTTAAATGGATTATCTAAACTGTTTTTACCAATTAATGAGTTTATGTTTGTTGCCTATAGAAAGGTGAAAACCCAGAGCTGCAGCAAACCTCCAAGGTTCTTGTTTTAAATATCGAGGACGTTGACGATACTAAACCGGTTTTTACATCTCGACCTGACTTTACTGTAAACGAGGAGCAAGAAGGTACTTTTTGAAAGATTAAGAAAACGTACGCATTTTTTAATAGTTGCCTTAAGGAGTTTTACGCGAGCTTGCCGCGCTGAATTAGGAGAAAGAGATTAGTATATATTTTAGGGATAGGTCAGGTTTATACAGTTTCTGGGCTGAGCGCTGCGACTAGGACAGGCTAGGGGGCCGAGCGCTGCCGATAGAACATGCTCTCTCTCTGTCTTGTAATTCAACGGGGCATGCGCGTAACTCCTTCGAGCTTTTTCCTAAATATGTCTATATTATATATATATATAGTAGGAACGCTTGAGAACTAGTTTTATTGTGTTAACTGATAATTAATGTTATAAGGTCAAAAACTGGAGATTACCATAACAGATGCTGATCAGTATGTGGAAAAGCAATACACCTTTCAACTTGAGTAAGAATCAAATCGCTATAGCTCGCTTTAAGGGGTATAGGTTTACGGCTTAATTCTAAACAAATCATTAAGATATTACAAACAAGTTAATACTTCAAAACAGTTTTGCTGCTGTTGATTTAAAGTATTTCGCTGGCGCTGGATTTTCGAATATTACTGGAAAATATGAAAATGTCGTCTTCACTATAAAAAAAAAATCTTCGAAACGGGAATAATCGTTTAAAAGTAAATATCAGATCATAAAAATCAAAAATATTATGAAATATCAACTCTAAAGGAATGCGTCGAAAAATAATCGATGTCTATTGTTTGTAATATCTGAATGATTTGTTAGGAATTAAATATGATTTTTTTACGATCCGAGTTGAATGTTTCAACTTTATGAATTTGTATGGACGTTACGTTCTTCGGTATGAGTCGTTTTTAACAATTTTCTCCTTATAGACACAGCAGATAGAAGTAAGATTAGTAGCGATCAAAAGCAAATATTGTTCGCCGTAAGCCTATACCCCCTTTCATTTTCGCGAACGCTCCCTTAAAACCCACATTAAAATGGACTATAAACGTAAATTCAAGTGATCGTCATGCAAGAATGGCAATGCCCAATTCCCTAAGATACTCTAGAAAGTAAAAAACCATTAACTGATGAATACTGTGGAGTATATTGTAATTTTTATAGGTTTAAAAGTCTTGAATCTGCTTAATCCTGTAGTAGAAATGCGCAAATAACTTTTATAGAGAGACTAATAAACATAATTTGTTTTCAAAACTATAATCATTGATATATAATTCACACTCGATCAGACAAAGCTTTTAAGGGTATCGCTGTGACTCGGGCATTGACATCTTTGCATGCAGGGTCACTTGAAATTACGCTTACAGTCCCTATATACACATTACATGTAAGGATTTACATATTCGTTTATCTCTTCAGAAAATAGAGGAAACTTGGCTAAAGTTTTAAAATTAATACTGCTGAATATTTGATAATACGTATTAATCTAGAGAAATGAATGAAACACCGACGGGTTTATTTCACCTAGAAGAAGCTTCTGTTGATTCTGATGTAAGATATTTGTTATCTGATAAACCTATAGATCGTGAGGATTCGAGAATAGTTGATCTTGAGGGGAAACTATCCTATAAGATCACTGTCAAGGACAAGGGAAACAATGAAAACTCTCAAGAGGTAAGTACAGGATCGTGAATAAAACTTTATGGTTTATAACAACACCCATAGGGAGAGACGTTAACTCAGATTTTAAAGCTTTCTCATTATTTTTACACACATTCCTTTTTAAACTTTCGAAATAAGCCAATAAACAGGACTAGGGTTTCTATTTTTGTGTGAATTAGTGAAGTAATTTTAGAGTGTAGCGTTTATCATATTTCTGAACATATTTTCTTTAGATCACTATCACGGTAAAAGACCTGAACGACTGCTATCCGTATTTTGAACCTGAAAATTATGAAATGTCGGTTTTTGAGAATAGTTCGGATGGAACCGTAGTTGGTTCAGTTATTGGTCTGGACGACGATGTTACAGGTATTAAAACGAAATGTTTAAAATAACAATTCTAAAAAGGCCGATTTCTTATTCAGGTTACCATAGGTACAACTATAGGTCGTATCTATCTATGTACACTGCTTTGGTAAAGCGTAACTATAGTGTGACTATGGTTCTACCTATGGTAGAATATCTAAGAAAATGGCCAAAAGTAAACAATTTTAAGAAGCTCAGGGGTGTCATACGGGGGGGGGGGGGCTATATGAATCATTTTAGCAACCCGGCCTTCCCTGAATAAATAATTTTTCTTTCTTCATTACAAATCAAGAAAAAGTAATTGTGTAATTGGGCTGATCGGTTTATTTTATCATTATTTTATTATAATTATTTCTGCCTAATGTTATTTATATTGTTTTAGATGAATTCAATACAAAATCTCTTGTGTATTACATAAACTATCCTAAAAACGTTCCGTTTACTATTGATGGGAAGACTGGTGAGATAAAGGTAAAAAAAACAGTTCTCTAAAATATGTTGGTACTTTAATAAAGACATTTATCAAACGGCAACTTCCCAAGGATATTTCCCGAACGGCAACTTCCCAAGGATATTTCCCGAACGGCAACTTCCCAAGGATATTTCCCAAGTGGAAACTTCCCAACTCTGCAATTTCCCAAGTCTTTTCAAAAACCCTCTTAACTGAAACTCAGACAGTGGCGCAACTAAAGGCCGGCCTTGCAGAATAGAAAGAAAGAGTGGCGAATATTAATATTAAGGGGAAGAAATCTTGAGCGCTTCGTGCATCATTTGTTATAGAAATTCTTACTGTTATCTCCTTTTAAATTTGAAGAAAGCCAGACGCAATTTATTTATCTATACAATAAAACAAGAAATTCATATATATGTTATCTATAGCCGTCCGTGCTGGTCCGAATGGGCTGACATTTATTGTTAACACGAAGAGGTGTTATAGGCTAAAAAATCGATTTTTTTCAAACTATTTTATTTTATTTTATTTTTTTTCCAAATATTTTTTTCAAATATTTTTTTCCACGGGCAACGCCGGGCACTTTAGCTTGTCATAAATTTATGAAAAACATAGCAATAAAGGTCATAACAAATTTCATTGTTAAAGAAGAAACAGTTTTTTTAATTTATTGTATATGCAAGCAATTCAAATAAAGACGCGGTTGAAAACTTCCTTGTATGCAAACACTTTTAATTTGTTTTTATTACTACACAAAGCAAAATTTTTTATTTGATAAAAGATATCAACCAAAACGATTTTTAAAACGATTGCTAAATTGTTTTCCGTTTTTAAATCTTTAAATTTTTAAAAAACGTCCGCCTGTAAACGATGGACATCCATAGACTCCTAGTCCTTTAAGTCCATCCTTTAAGTTAAAGTTTGAAATTGTTTGAATTGACCACTAACCAGTCGGGCAGTGCAGTGTCTCCCCAACCTATAGTACTGATGAGGACATCATAGAAATGTAGAAATATATTTACTGAAAAAGTGGTCTCCATCTTATTTGGTTTGGTTGAACCTTCTAACAACTATGAAATTGTGTAGGTTAGTTTATCTCAAACTCAATACTTGGATAGAGAAGGAGAAGAAACATATCTACTTCAAATAGGAGCACAGGATCTTAATGGAGATGGTCAAGGTCAGACAATGATTACACCCCCCCCCCTCTTCACTACATAGGATTCCCCCCCATCCATTACTATTTTCTTTTTTTTGTAATTTCGCATTTTTCGCAAAATTATCGCATTTTTTCGTGAAATTCCGCATCGTTCTCGCTTTCTTTCGCAAAATTCTTATGTGAAATGTCGCGAAAATTTTAGCTGGAAACCCAAATTGTGGAAAAGCGTTTTGTAATTATTTGATCAGAGCTGAAAACTTTTGAATGGTGGATATCGGGATTAATGCTTAATCCAATCTTTTTCTTGATCTCGAGATTAAATATTGCTTGTTCTCCTCTCATTTTTAATCTCCAGATTAATTACCCGATCAGGATTAAAAGCAAAACAGGATGCTGAGGTAAATGTGACTATTCTGGATGTAGATGATGAACCACCTAGATTCATTAATACAGGTATATCAACTTAGAAAACTTATCTCATTAAATAAATAAATATTTCAGCATGTTTATTTGTTTATTCTATCAATGCGCATTCTGACATCATAACTTAAGCTGAAACTAGTTTTACTAGCTATTTACAAATTTGGCTTTATACAGTTTCATAACACTTTCCAAGATTAATAGACAAGATTTTAAATTTTTTTGGAAAATGAATTTTTACGTTACAACGTGATGCCAAAAAATATCCAAGATTTATCGCCATTGAGAATTGTTTATGGCACTCTGTAAATGACCAGCTCCTTAACGTTATTTTTGACAATCCCTTTGAAATACTTGTTTTTGTAGGAAACTACAAGAATTTTGAAATTGATAATACAAGAATATCTGGATCTGTATTACTCAACTTCGAAGGAGAGGATCCAGACAAAAATCCAACTTTTACTTTCGAGATTATAGGTAAACATTTTTTTCGTACAGTGTCGGCGATTATATCAATACAGAGCCTGCGATTAAAAAAATTCGGAAAAATACGGCTCGGGTCTAAACTGTCGTTGGGCCTTATTTACGACTTAGGCTTTCGGATTCATGCTGCATCTTATTTTCAACAGAGTTGAGTTTTTAAAAACCGGTTTAAGATTCTATTTACCGGATTTTCATGGTAGGAACTGGCGCATTCTGGGTTTTGATGAGAACAAGACTCAAAATTAAGCCTTATTCTCCACTAAAACCAACCGAGGTTGGTTTTCTTTTCATTGGGCCTAACTCCTTAAGTCGAGCCGAAGATTTTGCAGCTGTCAATCACGTGTTACAAGCTGTTAAAGAAAATACTAATAATTTATTATGCTTTGATCCCTAACAAGCATTATTAAATTACAATTTTTCAAGCACACAAAGAGAAGTTGTTAACTGAAAACTTCACTCTTTTTTCATGATTACGTGTGTCTGCTCTTTAGAAATTTAAATGTAAAGTCATCTTCTTTTCATTGATAAATGCGAAGAGGTTAAAATTGTTCATTTCAAGTTAATTTTTTATCAAAACTATTTAATCTTTTTGATTCTATGTAGAGATTGTTTCATTTATTAGTACTTCAGGGGGTTGGAACTTTTTTAATTGAATGCAACGCCAGAACTAGATATCCACTTGCATGAAAGCTTAAAAGTTTAAGCCTTTTTAAGAGCTTAATGCGTAAAAACGGCTGAACTCAAATGTCAAAATACATACATCCTTTCATAAATACATACGTACTCACATACAACTTTATGTAAATATATGACAGAGGAATTGTTATCTTATACACTTAATTTTATCCTTACAGGGTGTATACTGTATACGTTAAAATCTAGAAAGAGCGGGATGAAGGGTAGAGTTGTGTACGTTCTGAGAAATATGCATAAATGCATACGCAAACAGTAAAACAAAATGGTGGTTTTACACTTTTCTTGATTAAACTACATCATATTTATACTCTAATCTGTATTTAGAAAAAGATCCTGATTTCCCTTGTCGAGTAGAAGGAACCGGATTAGTTCTTGAGAAACAATTAAATGAATTCATGAAATCATTTATATACACTGTACAGGTACACCAAATATACACAGAACGATAAAATGTTAATTCAATAATGGAGATGTTGCACAAACGATATAATGGCAACCCTGTATGGAAATCTTATCATCTCTGCTTGTGTTTAGATCAAGGATAATGTTGGAATGAATAATAAATCTTATTATCTCTGCTTGTGTTAGATCAAGGATAATGTTGGAATGAATGATAAATCTTATTATCTCTGCTTGTGTTTAGATCAAGGATAATGTTGGAATGAATAAATCTTATTATCTCTGCTTGTGTTTATATCAAGTATAATTTTGAGATGAATGATAAACCTTATCATCTCTGCTTGTGTTTAGATCAAGGATAATGTTGGGATGAATGATAAATCTTATTATCTCTGCTTGTGTTTAGATCAAGGATAATGTTGGGTTGAATTGTGTTTAGATCAAGGATAATGTTGGAATGAATAATAAATCTTATTATCTCTGTTTGTGTTTAGATCAAGGATAATGTTGGGATGAATGATAAATCTTATTATCTCTGCTTGTGTTTAGATCAAGGATAATGTTGGGATGAATGATAAATCTATATTATCTATGCTTGTGTTTAGATCAAGGATAATGTTGGGATGAATGATAAATCTTATTATCTCTGCTTGTGTTCAGATCAAGGATAATGTTGGGATGAATAAATCTTATTATCTCTGCTTGTGTTTAGATCAAGGATAATGTTGGGATGAATAATAAATCTTATTATCTCTGCTTGTGTTTAGATCAAGGATAATGTTAGGATGAATAAATCTTATTATCTCTGCTTGTGTTTAGATCAAGGATAATGTTGGGATGAATGATAAATCTTATTATCTCTGTTTGTGTTTAGATCAAGGATAATGTTGGGATGAATGATAAATCTTACTATCTCTGCTTGTGTTTAGATCAAGGATAATATTGGGATGAATGATACGCTCTCCTGTAACCTGACTATCTATGATCTAAATGATAAAACTCCTGAGTTCTCGTATCCTGAAGAAGGAGAAGATATTTGGATCAACGAGGTAAACATTTTTTTATATAAAAATCTGGAATCTTTTTATTTTATTTCCAATATCTTCGAATAGTTTATTTATGATACACATGATATTATGTTAAATCCCATTGAGGCCAAATTTAGATTTTTTATTATTTTGAATTGTTTAGGATTCAGAAATAGGAAAACCAATGATAGACTTCAGTGGACGTCCAGTGAAAGTAAACGCTACTGATGCTGATGTGGATCCACGATATAACAAAGTTACTTATGGTAATTAAAAGATTAGAATCATATATCTTCTAGATATCTTAAAAGATTAGAATCACATACCTTCTAAATATCTAAAAGTTACTTATGGTAAAAGATTAGAATCATATATCTTCTAGATATCTAAAAGTTACTTATGGTAATTAAAAGATTAGAATCACATACCTTCTAAATATCTAAAAGTTACTTATGGTAATTACAAGATTAGAATCATATATCTTCTAAATATCTAAAAGTTACTTATGGTAATTAAAAGATTAGAATCGTATATCTTCTAAATATCTAAAAGTTACTTATGGTAATTAAAAGATTATAATCATATGCCTTCTAAATATCTAAAAGTTACTTATGGTAATTAAAAGATTAGAATCATATATCTTCTAGATATCTTAAATTTACTTGTGGTAATAAAAAGATTAGAATCATATATCTTCTAGATATCTAAAAGTTACTTATGGTAATTAAAAGATTAGAATCATATATCTTCTAAATATCTAAAAGTTACTTATGGTAATTAAAAGATTAGAATCATATATCTTCTAGATATCTAAGTTACTTATGGTAATTAAAAGATTAGAATCATATATCTTCTAGATATCTAAAAGTTACTTATGGTAATCAAAAGATTAGAATCATATATCTTCTAGATATCTAAAAGTTACTTATGGAAATCAAAAGTTTAGAATTTTGGTTTTAAAAAATCTTTTAATCCAATATATTGTACTTTGAAATCAATTTTACTATAACATGAATCCTCATACAATCCTCATGTTCATACTCTGTACCGGACAACAGTTTATAGCAGTGAGAACTTATTTATTTTAGGTTTGTTATCTGAATCAAACTGGTTTAAGCTGGATTCAGAGACAGGAATATTTACACTAAACCGAAATCTATCAGAGTATCCATTTGAAAATCCAGCTGAAGATGACGCAATACCGGTAGAATTCACCGTTTATTTTTATTTTTCACCTTTTTAAGATTATTGAAAACAATATAGTTTAAATAATCTTATTTTAATGTTAGCAAAGGTTTTGAAAATACAGACAGCTCGAGGCGGGTTAAAGGTCGCCTTTGCTTAATATTTTATTTAAAAATGCAGCTTTAAGGGAGTGTTTGCTAAAAATGAAAGGGGGTATAGGCTTACAGCGAAAAATAATCGCTTCTGATCGCTACCAATCTTACTTCTATCTATTGCGTCTATCAGGATAAATTGTTTAAAACGTCCATACAAATTAAGAAAGTCGGAAAATCGGATCGTAAAAAAATCAATTTTATTTCCAAGAAACCATTCAGATATTACAACCTATAGCTATTAATAATTTTTCGACGCATTCGCATATAATTAATATTAAATATTTGTTTTGTATACAATGCACTTAAAATGCCGAAATAGTTGGCCGCCAGATGTTTCAACTCTCGATGCTTTGAATGATTACATGTGGCAGAGACGCTTAGCGAAAAAAAGTCGTTTTAAATGCATTGTATAAAAAAAAAAAAAAAAAAATATTATAAAATATAAACTATTACAAATACATCGAAAAATAATCGATGTCTTTAGGTTGTAATATATGAGTGATTTGTTTGAAATTAAATATTTTACGATACTAGTCGTATATTGCAACTTTCTAAATTTGTATGAACGCTACGTTCTTCAGTAAAAGTCGTTTATAACAATTTTCTCCTTATAGACGCAACAGATAGAAGTAAGATTAGTAGCGATCAAACACGATTATTTTTCGCCGTAAGCTTATACCCCCTTTTATTTTTCGCAAACACTCCCTTTAAGATTCGTAATTAGTAACAGCATTTTTTCTGTTTTAAATTACAACATATATAGCGTTGTTTCTTTAATATAAGATTGAACAAAGGCGACTTACATTCAACTAGTTTTGCCTGCTTGTACTTTTTAACAAAACGATTAAATTAACTAAGGAACTGATAACTCGCCTAAAATTCTAACTTTCTAACCCTTTATCATTGCAACCTAAGGTTGCAGACCTTTGAAGTTCCAGACTATGATGAGTTTTGCTAGATTTGATATTCAACATTCAAAACATCGAAGGTTTAGACCCATCTGGTGGCAAAGATATGGGAAAACTAGAGTTTGATGCAAGTACTCAGTTGTTTTGTATTTAGTTGACAGTACAAGCCTACGACCTGGGACAAACCAACACCGCAACTAAAACAATAACTCTGCGAGTCCAGCGAGATTATCCTCCAAAGTTTGGTCAGCTGTCCTACAGCTTTGAGGTTGTAGGTAAATATTTAGATTTTATATAATACAATCTAAATTGCCCGGCGTTGCCCAGGTTACTCTTAGTTACTCCCGCTGTTTACCCGCGATTGGTCTTAAATTAAAGTTAGTTTAAAAATTTAAAATCTGTTTAGCCTATGTCCCCACCCGAAGTGCCCATGGGTTCCCTCAACAAAATTCAGCCAAGTTAGCATGATTCGACAGCAAGTATGAAAATAGAAATTTTGGGAATTCCCCAGATTCCCAAGAATTTGTGGAATTTCCTAGATTCTCATATATTTGGAAAATTTCCCAGATTCCCAGGCATTTGGGGAATTCCCGAAATTTCCCAAATTCCTATAGGCATTGAGGGAGGTATATTTTTAAGATTTTGGAAATTTCTCAAATGACTGGACATTTGGGAAATTTCTCAAATAGCTACGCATTTGAGAAATTTCCTATTCTTGAAAAATAAACTACCCTCATTCAGATTCACCAGATTCCCAGGCATTTAGGGAATTCCCAAGATTCCTAAGCATTTCGGGAATTTCCCTGAATCCCAGGTATTTGGAAAATTGCCCAGATTCCTTAATGAATCTGAGGAGGTTTAATTTTTCAATTATAGGAAATTTCTCAAATGCCTAGCTGTTTGGGAAATTTCCCAAATGTCCAGTCTTGAAAAATTTCCAAAATCGAATTTTATCATCTATATATGTATGCACTGATATTGTAGACCTTTGATAATTTAAACTTTGAATTCTGCTAGATCTTCTAGCCAACTTTTGAATTAAATATCGAAGGTTTATGCAATCAGGCACCGTATATAATGAATTTGAGCTAGGTCGTTAAACTACAGTCGATAATAAACACTTCTGCAGTGCTGCAATGAAGTTTACATCCACATATAGGATATAGAAAAACCTAAATTACCGTTTCAAAATACGTTGGTTGAACTGTCCTTAGACCTGGCTTAAATTCATAAAATTCATTTGCAGGTTATGAATATTTTAATCATTATTAAGATATAGCCTGATATAGAAAACGTTTGATATTTCAATCTATGAATTCTGAAAAAAACGAACGTATTAAATTCCTGGATTTTCCCTTTTTCTTGTTATTCAGTTTTAAACATAAAAATGAAAACAGTATTTAATAACTTTGAAAATTAAAAATTTTGATTTGAGTTTTTCTTCAGAAAATACAGAGCTGTTAATCATGTTGGAGAATGCGACGGATAAAAACAATATTGAGCCACCAACTGATGATTGGATCCCTCAAGAAATATGTTATTTCATCATAGGTAAAAATATTTAACAAAAATCTTATACTACATACTAAGAAATGTCATAATATGAATAGATTAAATGTAATTAAAATCAAATAAACTTTCTTTTGTATTATAAAGTTTAAGATATCTTAGTTATTCTACATCTAATGAAAAATGTACAGAAACTATTTTGAAAGTTGATATAAAAAGACATGTTTTACCTATATAAAGCTTTGTTATTTAGGCTTCATCTTAAATTTTGTTAAACCTGCAGAGGAATAGGACATAAATCTGGAAAATCTTGTTTAGTTTCATGTTTATATTTGTATTTGTTACCTATAATTAGACAGTAATGACAACCTATAACTCTTTAAATTTACTGATGGAAAGGCTGAACTTTGCTTTTACCTTCAATATTGTTTATAAATGTTAAACTGGTTGAATGGACATACAAAGAAATCAACTTACAACTGCACAAACCCCTAAATGTAAGAATTTATGATTGAATAAATTTCGTACATTCTTCTCAAAAGTCTCATCCTGTAGGTAACCCAATATATAATCTAGAATATCCTGTAGGTAACCCAGTATATAATCTAGAATATCCTGTAGGTAACCCAGTATATAATCTAGAATATCCAGTAGGTAACCCAGTATATAATCTAGAATATCCTGTTGGTAACCCAGTATATAATCTAGAATATCCTGTAGGTAACCCAGTATATAATCTAGAATATCCTGTTGGTAACCCAGTATATAATCTAGAATATCCTGTTGGTAACCCAGTATATAATCTAGAATATCCTGTAGGTAACCCAGTATATAATCTAGAATATCCTGTATGTAACCCAGTATATAATCTAGAATATCCAGTAGGTAACCCAATATATAATCTAGAATATCCTGTAGGTAACCCAGTATATAATCTATAATATCCTGTAGGTAACCCAGTATATAATCTAGAATAAGTGAAATAGGAAATACAAAAAATATAATAAATATTTTTTAAATTCCCAAAACTTTTCTTAAATATTTTTTTTTATTATTAGGTGGGAATGAAAAGGAAATATTTAGTGTTGGATTAAAGTCTAATATATTATCCAACAATATAGAGATAGATAGAGACTGTGGGAATGATTGTGCAAGGTAAAAGTCTAATATATACTATTTAACAATATAGAGATAGATAGAGACTGTGGGAATGATTGTGCAAGGTAAAAGTCTAATATATACTATCCAACAATATAGAGATAAATAGAGACTGTGGGAATGATTGTGCAAGGTAAAAGTCTAATATATTATCCAACAATATAGAGATAGATAGAGACTGTGGGAATGATTGTGCAAGGTAAAAGTCTAATATATTATCCAACAAGATATAGATAGATAGAGACTGTGGGAATGATTGTGCAAGGTAAAAAAAAACGAAATGTAGAATGTTGTAATAATAGACTGTTTAACAAGTAGAGAAAGAGGCTGTTGGAATTGGCTTTCATTGTAATAACAGCTACCTTCTAATAAAAAAGATTTCAGTTCTACTTCAGTGTACCCCCCCCCCTCCCTTCCCACCTCCATCCTACCCCTTATCCCATTTATTGACTGAGTTTAGCTGGCACTATACATTGATTTGATTTTACCTAGTATCAAGTAGTATTAAAGGGACTGTACGTTTAATAAATAATGTCAAGTAACCCTCCATTCCAGATGGTAATGTCCGATTTTCAGCGGTACCCTTGAAACCTTTATCTGAAAAATAATGTGGGTGATATGGTCGTTTTTCTAGGTCTTAAAGTGTTTATTTTTTATAATGCCTATGTCCATGCTATTACACATTATCAGTTTTCAAAATTATATACATTGATATCTAAGACAAAGTAGTCAGGGGTACCATTGTAAATCTGCCATTGATGACATCAACAAAGGGTCGATTAAAATTATACGCTCACAGTCCCTTTAAAGCTACATTTGATATTTTTTATATCCAGGTATAATCTGATATATTTTATATCCAGGTATAATCTGATATATTTTATATCCAGGTATAATCTGATATATTTTATATCCAGGTACAATCTGATAATAGCAGCGACCAACTTATGTGCTAGTCCACCTGACCTTGATTCTCTGAGTGCTGAAGAGAAGTTGAATGTAACACTGTATATACAAGATGTTAATGATGTCGAACCAAGGTTTATTGATGGTACTAGAACTGCTGGTATTACAGGGGAGGATAAAAACAATGATATAATTATCAGATTACAGGTTACACATTATATACATATTAGCTTAAAGGGAGTGACCGGCAATGTATGGTAGTTGAATTGAGAATGATGTATTGTGGAGAAATGTTTTAGGATTCATTTGAGACCCATGAGACGATTTAATGATTTATAATTACTGGTTTGAACGCAAAGAGTCGATGTTCAAAATCTTCCATTTGGATGGTAACGTTTAGAGAATCAATTTTTTTAATTATAAATAACGACCACAAAAAATGTAAAAAAATCTACAGTAAACTAATTAGATGTTTAGGAACATATTTCGCAATAGAAATTTTCTCATTTAATCAATGATAAAATCATTTTTTTTTCATCATTATACTGAATTTTTTTCGCAGATTTCTTCAAATTCTTTAAATGTCGTTTTTTCATAAAAATTCCAAGAAATCTACAGAAAATGTTTGTGAACAATGAGACATTACAGAAACCAATAACTGAATAAGATTATTTATTTTCGATGATAATATTGAATTTTCATTTTCTCAACCTGCTCCTAAATAACTAATTATTTTTATTACATTTGTCGTTGTCGTTATGGAATAATTTTTTTTAACCGATTCTCAAAATAATTTTTTTTTAATGACCAATCTTTAAGGATTTTAAAGATTTAATTTGCGCTTTTGCTGAAATATGCACCGTGAACACGTCTCATAGTTTCCTAAACATGATTCCTAAACATTATTTACACAACACTACATTGTCAGTTAAACTACCATACATTGCCGGTCACTCCCTTAAAAGGGAGTATCAATTTGATTTAAAGTGCACCCCCATTTACCTGAGCCAAACTAGGAAAGACATCGTTGTTTTTCTTTTGTTTTAAGTGTTAAGTTAAGGAGAGAAATCACAAATTGAAAATTAACCATATTTAGAAAGAAAACGCAAGGATATCTCCATCTTTTTTCATTAAAAGAAGGTTTGAATAGAAAGACATTTGAAATTCCATCTACAGTTCCTTTAAATCAAATTTGAGTTTCCTTACAAATACGATTTTCATAAACTTGTTATTTTCACCCGTTCATTTGCAAAGTTCCACCTGGCGAGAATAATCTGAAATTGCAAAATCAAAACATATCTCTTAGAGTGTTTCTTATCACACAAAAATAACTCCTATCTTGGCTGTATCTTCTCACTTTCATTTATATTTTAATCTCATATTCGAATACCGTCGAAAATACTTCAGTACTTCAATATCTAGAAAATTTAGTCCAACAAAAGTTCCAAATTATGAAATTTACTATTCGCAAGAAATTGTTATTTCTTAATCCCTATTTCTTTGCAACTTGATGTCGTTAGGACCTTTGATATTTCAAATTATAAATGCTCTGTCATAGCCAAAGTTTAAAAAATGCAAGTTTTAAACCATACAATGACAAAATTGAAATTAAGAAATTAGAGTTTGTGGCGAGTCACTTCCTTTAAATGTAGAGAATAAAGTATAACATTGGGAAAAGTTTTAATGACCAATCAACTGTAATAAAATAAAAATAGTTCTGTTTAGGCCACAGATCCTGATCTAGAGGATAACCCTGGGATCACGGGTTCAGGCCTTAACTTTGGTATCGGAGAAATTATAATTGGACCTGAATCCATAGATCTAGATATATCCGTCCCATTTATTCTCTCCGCAAACCCGAATTCGAACGATGTAGAGATTAAACTCAACTTCAATCCGACAGTAAGTTCAAGTTAATCATTATATTTTTCTTATAAAAAACATTCCTTGTGTAAATAAATACAAAGCAATCATCCAATAATTACTTAGATTCGTTGAATCTCTGATGAAACCCTTTTTAGTTTTTGTTTTTTCAAATAAATTTCCCTAGAAGGTTAAGGTCTGTGTATGTACTGGTACAGTTTGCTCTAGCACCTTGAAAGTCGACCCGGTACTTGAATTGAATCGGAGTTTACACTGTTCTCATCATTTAAAAAAAAATCATAAAATGTATTTAAATATGATAAACGCATATATCCAATAAACATTTAAACCATTTAAAAAAATAAATTCGCCCCAAAAATATTTTGTCGTTGATATTTCGCTTGTGCCCTAAAATTAAAAAACATGTTTACACTCATAATTGGATCATCAAGGGTCAAGCTGGATAATGTAGATATATTTTGTCTATATTCAGACACCTTTGTTTTTAGACCACTATGAAAGGATATTTTGAATTCAATATAACTGTTACAGATAAAGGTAATTCTAATTAAATACTTAATAAAAAAATAAAAACTACATAAATATAAAATATCAATATTCGTTCGTAATAATTTTCATAATAAATTCTGCTAAAAATATTAAAGAAAACCATCCAATAGGAATCTCAGCAATTCTAAAGAAAATTATTTGCGCGTAGAACCGTCACTTCTGAGATCAACCGCACATGGGGCGTCTGCACACTCTGGAGTAATCTTTAAAAAAAATTATTTACATTGTTTAGTTGAATTTTTAAAATTTAGTTGGACACAGTAGTGTTGCTGAAGTAAAGATAGTAATGATAGCTCCTGAACATGTTTGTTTGTTCAGGTAAAGTATAAACACGTACAGTACACGTACAGTACACGTACAGTACACGTACAGTACACGTACAGTACACGTACAGTACACGTACAGTACACGTACAGTACACGTACAGTACACGTACAGTACACGTACAGTACACGTACAGTACACAGGAGGTAGACGTACGGAACAAGAGCAGTACCAAAAAAATCCTTGTAATAAAAAATCTCTGTAAATAAAGTCCTATCATTTTGAGACTTTATTTTCTACGACTTTTTTTCTGGCTTCAGTATGATTCTATACAAAAAAGTACTCTTATAGTGGAAAATACATGGGAATAAAGGATGTTTACAAACAATGGAAAACGGGGCTTGATATTGAAAACACCCCTGGCCATATTCAATTTATGCAGATGCATAGAAGAAAAGTCCTTTGTATGAAAAAGTTTAAGAATGGCCTCATTTTTTCTTTAAGACTTTAATTCCTGTGATTTTATTTCCTGAGACTTTAATGGCAGCCCCTTCAATATTTTAGGAAAAAAAGTACCAGAAATCTAAAACTTAGGACTTTATATCCAATGGCATTTTGTCATAGGACTTCAGAAAATTGGAACTTTTTTACCAAAGTTTTTATTTCCAGGTTTTTTCCCAGAAACCTTTTTTTCTTGAAACTTTCTTACATAGATTCGTATACCACACTAAACCACAAAACAATATATATCTGCAATTTAACAAAGATATATATGCTGATAAATGAGATTTTACAAATGGGACACATAAATGATAAAACTGTTAAAAGAGATTTTACAAATGGGACACATAAATGATAAAACTGTTAAAAGAGATTTTACAAATGGGACACATAAATGATAAAACTGTTAAGAGATTTTACAAATGGGACACATAAATGATAAAACTGTTAAAAGAGATTTTACAAATGGGACACATAAATGATAAAATTGTTAAATGAGAAGATAAAATAAAATTCAGGCAACTTTATGTGTATTTGATGTGTTGTTATCAAACAAATAGTAATAACAGAAGTTTAAGAATAAGTTTATGAAAATACGTGTTCATGTTTACACTGCTGTTCATGTTTACACTGCTGTTCATGTTTATACTGCTGTTCATGTTTATTGGACAATTTAAAATCATGACTTGAGTTTTACAGCAGTCTTTTTATTCCACAGTTTCTAGGTTCTCACTATTATATATCACATGATTTTTACTTTATAATCCTTTTCAGGAACAATTATCATTTAGTTAAATGAGATAAAATATCTACAGTGGTGAGCGATTATATTAGACAAGGAAAACGGTTTTTTTTTAAATTTTGATTGTTTACAAGCTTTATTCGAATTAAACAAAACAAGTAATCAAAGAGAAGCTTTTTTATTCGACAGCTCCTCTTTGTTGTTTAAAAGCTTGATTTCAGTCAAAATTGAAATCGAAAGTCGTCTTCATTGTATTGATATATGCGACGACGACTGTAGATAAAGATTATGTTTAGTTTTGAGAATTCCAAGCTTGAGATAGAAGCAAAAGAGCAGAATATTGTAGATATATATGAGCGAATCCTTCCTTATATTTTCAACATTGATAGAATCACCGAGCCTAGCTTGAAGGTAAGGAGCAATTCAACAAATTAATTATAATTGATATTTTGGGTACTCACCCTTTATTTTACATGTCTAATTCACAACGGTACCATGTAAACCTTATTGTTTCATCAAAAATTATGGCAATATTCTTGTTTTCAATTTGAGAATTGATTTTTTCGCAAGAGGGTGTAAAGGGTGCATATGTAAATTAGACTTATTACTCGCATTTATTAAGTTACATGGTTCACTTAGAGTTTAAAATCTTTGTCTTATGAAATATCCATGTTTATATTCAATTATTATTTTATTATTAAAATTTTGGGATCTCCACTAAAATAGCATGCGCATTTCCGCTTCAGAAGCAATGAAGGATATTTACAAAATTAAACACTTCAAGAAAAAACGTACTTTATCAGATTCAAAGAATATCATTGTAAATCTGGATTTCCCCTTTTGTTCGCGACCAATATTATAGTTCTATCTGATCTACCTAATCTACCTAATCTACCTGATCTACCTGATCTACCTGATCTAGCTGATCTACCCGATCTACCTGATCTACCTGGTCTACCTGATCTACCTGATCTACCTAATCTACCTAATCGACCTGATCTACCTGATCTACCTGATCTACCCGATCTACCTGATCTACCTGATCTACCTGATCTACCTAATCTAACCAAATCAACCTGATCTACCTGATCTACCTAATCTACCTAATCTACCTGATCTACCTAATCTACCTAATCTACCTAATCTACCTGATCTTCCTGATTTACCTGATCTACCCGATCTACCTGATCTACCTGATCTACCTAATCTACCTGATCTACCTGATCTACATGATCTACCTGATCTACCTGATCTACCTGATCTACCTGATCTACCTGATCTATCTGATCTACCTGATCTACCTAATCTACCTAATCTACCTGATCTACCTAATCTACATAATCTACCTAATCTACCTGATCTACCTGATTTACCTGATCTACCCGATCTACCTGATCGACCTGATCTACCTAATCTACCTGATCTACCTGATCTACATGATCTACCTGATCTACATGATCTACCTGATCTATCTGATCTACCTGATCTACCTGATCTACCTGATCTATCTGATCTACCTGATCTACCTGATCTACCTGATCTACCTGACCTACCTGATCTATCTGATTTATCTGATCTACCTAATCTATCTGATCTACCTGATCTACCTGATCTACCTGATCTACCTGTCTATACCGGATCTACCTGATCTACCTGTTCTACCTGTTTTAAAAAAATTAATATAACACTGTTTCAAAGTTATACCAAAACTCAAATATATGAGATTTATCGGAATTAAAGTTTTAAACAAGTCATATTCAGCAAATACAAAACTAATCTGAAAATTAGGGTAATTTTAATTATAATATTTGAATAAAATACTTATTAATTTTTAATAAATATGTAGTAAATGCCATACTCCAATAAATCCTTTTTAATAGTCCCTCTAAAGTGTTAAATTAAATTATGTCAACAGTGCTTTTGATAATTTACAATTGTAAATGAATATATAGGCAGGTATGTACAGTACGGGACTAGCTGAGGTTCAGTCACATTTTCTGAATAAGACGACAATTGAACCCATCGATAGAAACGAGGTTCTTGTGTAAGTTTTTTAATCATTTAAAAAAACAAATTTTAATTCAATCTTCCATGTTTATTTAGAAAGCTCAATCCTAGATACTGCATGAGACTAATTAAAAATAAATATGCTTCAAAAATGTTTTAAAGTTTTTTTTAAAAAACTACCTTGCACTTTATCATTAATGTTCAGAATTTTATGCTGAATTTCATTATAGCAGTGCTATAAAGTAATTTTCGTACTGATAAATTTGCTGTATATGTTAGCACCATATCTTAAAAACATCGTCGCCACAAACAAAATACTACAAATACTACAAAATTTTTCTTTTGCATCTCGCAAACTTTTGGCGAAATTTCGCGAAAATGAATAAAGCAAAAAAGCCAATTAAACGAAGCGAAATACCGTAAAAAATAGTTTAGCGAAATTTTTACGAAACAGATTGAAGCGAATTTTCGCGAGCAACGAGAAAATTTTCGCATTTTCGCGAGGGAACGAAATGCGAAAGGAGGCGCAAATTTGCGCGAAAAATGCGAAATTTTTGCAAAATGATTTTTTCTTTTCGCTGCGAAACCCTAAATTGCACGCCCTCAGAATTGTTTTTAAATTTTTAAATTTTAGTATTCCACAATTTTCGCCAAATATGTTTACCGGTAAAATATATTTAGGATCTACGACCGGTTTCAAACAACACTACAGCAGAGTCTTCATGATATAAACATAACTCTCAGACTCTTCGAGGCAGGGTTTCCATCAACAAATAATATTTATTCAATTTCGGGAATTTCGATGATAAAATATGTTTATATGTTAATTATAAAAAAATTAGCATTTGAGAAAACAATTATTGCAAATATCCATGCGGTAAGATTTAGCGCATTGATGTGCAAAATTAGTAATATTCTTCGGATATAAGAACACACAGACACTGGAATTTATTATTTAAGAGGGGCGAGAAATAATAAATAACATTTCTTTCAACTAGTAACTAATTAATTTCAGGATGAAGAAATAATATCTATTCATGCAACTGCCTTGTGTTAATTTAAGGAAAAACCCCGGCAAAATATTATTTTCCAAATTATAACAAGGTAGTTGCTTATTTCATTTTATTCCATTTTAAACCGAAAAAAAAACGCGAAAAAAAAACTCTAAAATCTGCAAAATTTAGTTAAACATCCAATCTTTCGGGACATTATTTCTCATAATGTCCCAGAACAATTATGAGAAATAATATCCCAGAAGATTTTCAAATTACAGAAAAATACACGGCATATTAATTCTAATTTTTTGTGCTACCAATACGATTTTATGTTATGGCATACAACAGGATAATTTTAAATTTGTACCCGGATAGTTTATCCAGCTTCAGATCAAGTTTTACGATATTACGCATATTTAAAATGGAAACCCTAATACAAGGTAGAAGAAGAGGAGGAGGGGACAAATCTACCAGGTACAAGACCGTCTAACTAATCAGGACAGTAAACAGAAGACATAAATATCGTTTTTCATACTGATTTGATACTAATTTGATAGTAATTAAACAACAGTTATAAGTTATAAGTCGTCTGAAATCTTTGTTCTTTAAGGGACTGTAAAGGAAAAATGAAAGGTGGTATAGGATGAAACCTGAAAATCTCAGGCGTTAAATGATACATAAGAATTCTATCTGATGTTCCTTTCTCGAGAAATTGATATAAAACTTTTTCAAATTTATACGAAAATTCATATGCAATTTTGTATAAAAGTTGTAGTATTAAACAGATCATATTCAACAAATATGAAACCAATCTGAAAAAGATTGTATCCCACAGGAGTCTGAGAATCTCAGGTTTGCTCATATTATAATTTTTTAATTTGATTTTGCATTTTGAATTGATATTATTGATAAAATTATTACATATAGTCCGTATTATGTCACAATAACTTCAGCCAATGACAGTGCAGTATCGTTGTCATGTGGTACAGACGGAAATCATGTGACCAGTATACTGCACTGCCATTGGCTGAAGTACTGGTGACGTAATACCTACTTTACGGATTATATGTAATTGTGGCGGACAAGTCGTCCTACTTTCCGCCGTAATGTCTGCAAGTACCTACCTGATCAAAACTCATGTGTCATATTAGTATTTTTGTTTCTTTGTTTATTGATATGAAAAATATAGTTAGTTGTTCATAGACTTTTGTCTTTTATTTAGCCGTCGCTAAATAATAATATTATCAATTATATCTATTAAAAATGCAAAATAAAAATAAAATACTTATAACAGGAGCAAACCTGAGATTCTTAGGTTTCTGTAGGATAAAGTCTTTTTTAGATTGGTTCTGTATTTTCTGAATATGATTTGTTTTAACCTACAATTGTTATGCTAAATTGCATATATATGAATTTCCGTATAATTTTGACACAGTTTTAAATCAATTTCTCAAGACAGGAACATCAGATAGATGTCTTCTATGTATCGTTCAATGCCTAAAATTCTCAAGTTTCATCCTATACCCCCTGTCATTTTTCCTTTACAGTCCGTTTAAATAGATAACGAAATCATCGACGACCTTTGCGTCTTTTCTCAATTTAAAAGTTTATACGGACACCCTGTATATATACTATATACTATACTACCCGGACACCCTGTAGTCTGTTTATTATCAAATAGGAAAAGGAAACCAATATTATATGATTTGTTGAATTAGATACTATATATTATAGTATTGATAGTTTCTACTATACTATTTGTTTAGTTACCATGATAGTTTTAATAGTTTCTACTATACTATTTGTTTAGTTACCATGATAGTTTTGATAGTTTCTACTATACTATTTGTTTAGTTACCATGATAGTTTTGATAGTTTCTACAATACTATTTGTTTAGTTACTATGATAGTTCTGATAGTTTTTACTATACTATTTGTTTAGTTACTATGATAGTTCTGATAGTTTCTACTATACTATTTGTTTAGTTACTATGATAGTTCTGATAGTTTCTACTATACTATTTGTTTCGTTACATTAATAGCTGATAGTTTCTACTATACTATTTGTTTAGTTACTATGATAGTTCTGATAGTTTCTACTATACTATTTGTTTAGTTACTAAGATAGTTCTGATAGTTTCTACTATACTATTTGTTTAGTTACTAAGATAGTTTTGATAGTTTCTACTAACAAATTTGTTTAGTTACTATGATAGTTTTGATAGTTTCTACTATACTATTTTTTTAGTTACTATGATAGTTCTGATAGTTTCTACTATACTATTTGGTTTCATGTTCTCATTTCTTCTGATAGCTTACTGCATTAGAACAAATATGTAAGTATACAAATGTTATTAATAGAAGAAAATAGATACCTTCGCATTCAAAACATCCCTACATTATGTTCATATTGGGAAAACATTATTCCATGAATATAAGTTCAGCTGACAATACGAACAATTCAACTATGATACAGCGTCATTTTAACATTTTCGGCCATCTATACAGATGAAGTTAAACCTTATGGAAATCCAACGTATAGAAACCGCTACGTATAGCAACAAGGCGTATTTTCCGGGAGAACATTTTTTTATATTTTGGAGAAATTAAATAATCAGTGTAAAGTAGATATAATTTTATAAAATCCTTTTATTTAAATGGTAAAACGGAATTTTATGAAATCATATTAGCATTACTATAAGAGAACTTTTTTTATACTTTTAAGAATTTTTTTTTACAGATGTTCAAACATTTACAAATATTTTATTTTTAACATTTAAAAACATTCTTTAACAATACTAACATTCTTAAACATGTTCAAATATTTTTTTAGCATTTACAAACAATCTTAGAACATTTTTAAACATTCTTAAACAATTTGAATAAGCTCAATTTTAATTATTTATAATTATCCAGTCTTGAGAGGAAAGTAAAAGCTATGGAGACTGCTGCAGATGTGGATACAAACAAGAATACAAATGAAAAAATTTATCTAACAGCTCTTCAGGTGTTTTTAATGATCGATATCTTGTTAGACATTCATTTTATAGTATTTACTCACTTTTTTCTGTTCGATATTTCTGTTTCAATTTAAATTGTGATCAAAAAAACTATTTTTTTCTTGATAAAACTTCTTGACATTACACTGCACAGACAGAGCATCAGTGTGGACGGTTTCTATCAATATCTGTTTACAGAAACATCAGATATAGAAATAAAGTACAGTGAGACTCATAAAACTGTTGAATAAGACAACTTTTATTCACAAGTTATGATTTTATTCCGTTGAAGATGAAATATAGCAATTGTGTATTGTACACGGACTTATTCTAGTTTGTTTTAATCTTCATACACTATAGAAACTATAGAAGTAAATATATATATATAAATACTCTGCGAGGTTCGGAGCATCTTTAACGCCGAATTTTAAATTTAATTTACTAAGTCTGCTGGTTTTCAAGCTACAAGCTACAAAACTTTTTGCTTTTCAAAAACATTCAATGCACATAAAGATTGCTTATTATTTCACAGTTTTATGGGACTCCCTGAGCTACCAATAATTTCATATTTTCTTCTGATTTCCTCTGTTTTCCTTTCTTTATTTTTTTGCGATCATTACCTTTAAAGAAAAAAGGCGCTTTTCTTAATTTCTAAATTTGTAAATATTTGTGCTTTTTTCAGGAGAATGTGCCGGGTTCAAACGAGTTTGCAGGAGAAGGTGCAAATCCTATTTGGCAGGTTGCAATGGAGAGCAATGATTTTGAGGACGAGATCAGGTGAGGACGATTTATAAGAACTATTTGAACATTTTGATTATTTGAAGGTTGTGCGGAACAAAAATTAATCAATTGTTGCGAATTTTGTATATTTCTCAATCAGAATTTGATAAAAACTAATCATTATCTGGTAGTACAGCTGTTAGCATCGTGTTATTTTTTTTTGGGGTCACAATTTCCACCTTTTTAAGAAGTATCATATTAGGTTGTAAATTGTTAATAATTTTTAGAGGGGGGGGGGATTACTCCATATAAATAAATTGTTTAAACTAAACACCATTTAAATATTCCTTTTTTTACTATATAATTTTACTTGGAGTTACCATTCCTTATTTTCTATTAAAACTTAAATATTAGACACAGTAGAATTATCGAAAAAAAAGTTTATAATTCCTGAAATGATAAAAATATGATTCCAGAGAAAGTGCGGAGAAAATGCCAAATGTTTAGGTTTGACGATAATGAGAGTCAGTCGAGTGGAGATTCAATCCTGATAGGAGTTGAGGAGGACAAGGATTTCAGGGATTATAAGGTTATTTTTAAATCTATATTTTAGGGATTATAAGGTTATTTTTAAATCTATATTTTAGGGATTATAAGGTTATTTTTAAATCTATATTTTAGGGATTTTTGGGGAAAATTAAGGGATTCTAGGCTAATCTAGCTAAGGGGAATTACAAATTAATAAATTTAATGAATTTTTAGGTTTCCTTCAAAATTATATTCAGGACTTTTCAGGAAAATTTAAACAAATATTTCAGAGATTTTATAATAATTTTAAAAATTTGAATTTACTGGCTTCTAAGGAAGCTGTTAACCGTTGCTCATCAAACTGTCATTATTTAATTGTTATTAACAGTTTATAACGAGCAAAATTATTTAAAATGAACCATCTAGAATCCTTCCCTGTCGAGTCGTATTGGACCCGATCGGTTTAGTTGTTTTGACATTTATTGGAACAAACAAACATACGGCCAAGCAAAAAATATTTATAGAAGTAAATTTATCTCTTTTCAATATAGATAATATCTTACTAATTGTTACTTAGCTAAAGGCTTAAATGAAAGGGTATGGTTGTGAATCGGGCGTGAAGCTATCTATTTTGACATAAACCATCTTTTCAACTTGAAATATTTAGGATTTAGATGTTGACATGGACCTCTACAATGTCGGTAAGATATTTGAAAATTATTATTTTAAAAAATATATTTTAATATTTTTTGATTTGTAGTGAACAAAAGATACAAAACAATCGACGACTACCAAGCTCCGTCCTCACAGGTAGATATTATATATCTTCGGATTCTCTCATTTCATGCAATTAATTTATACTTTAAATGGTTAATCCTTGTCTAGATTAAGCTCAATAAGGATCAATTTTTAAAAATAAACAATATAATAAACACGCAAGCGTACATTTTTTTATTTACATTTTTTTTTGAAAAAGAAAAAATGAATTTTTAGAATGCAGTTTGGTAACAAAGCCTTTGTTTTCTTTTTCAACAGCTAACTCTCTCTTAATAGATTATGGTGCATTTTTAAAATATCAAATTAAAAATTTAATTTTTAAATTATCAAATTAAAAAATTAAATTTTTTGTGTTCAACCATTTTGGTTTCAGAGTGGAGTGTTCACATTAAGCTCCGGGAAGCTAGGAGGGAATCCTTTATATAATAGTGATGACGATGAAGATCTTTAATCATAAATTAATAATTTCAGATTAATGATTAAATATTATATAAAGAGACTGTATGCCGAATTTAGCAATAAATTAAAAATATATATTTGCTGTATTTTATGTCGAAAAGTTTGAGTTTGCAGTTTTAGGTCATTAATAGAAAAAAATCGATTTAAACAATTGGTAAGCACTATTTCCTCTTAGCACTTTGCACTAGGAGGGGGGGGGGGAATTGTAATCGTAATTGTAATAGAAATGTGTTTATAGAGTTAAACTCAGTTAAAAGAAGTCATAGGGAGAATTTGTATTATGTCGTCTTGAATTTGATTTGAATTTGAATTTGAAGCTGTCTTGTTTTTGTTATTAGCTCGCAGCTTTACAGGATGTGTGTTATGATAAAGAATAATCAAAATTTCTGTGTTAAAAGCCAAAGTTTTTATTTGGAATGAAAATTTTCTGGATACATTTTTTGTAAAGATAAATAAAAAGCCCTGAAATACGCGTAACCTGCCAATTTACGTGTTATAAATCTTTCATAATAGCGGCAAACCCATGTAAAAAATTAAGTTCTTCCGATGTCTTCTTATATTTGAGTTTAACTGTATAACAGATGTACTCTACAGACTAACAGATGTACTCTACAGTACTCTACAGACTAACAGATGTACTCTACAGTACTCTACAGATGTTTGTATTTGCAGCTCTCATATGCTTTAACTTACAAGCAACATGTATTTAGATACATTAAACGCCTAACTAGGATAGTACAACAAGGTGGCAACAGAGAAATGAACCAATTATAAACGACGACGACGAAATTTTCTCACATTATTTGACATGTTTTTCAAGATTAAATAAATATAGTATAAAAACAGAAAATAAAGAACACATAAAATAGCACTGTCTTCACTGTAAGATAAGCTCTATATTTTAAAATTATCACTATTATTAATAATTTAATTTTGTCGGACACAAAAACTAAGTTGAAACTTGTGACGTTAGAATACAGCTTTTCTGAGAGTTTACAAATACTGCGTTGCCATCTATTGTACTTAACAATCTATTTGGGATATTCTAATAAATATTGTAATAATATCTTTTTATGTCACTACGTTCCTGCAAAGTTTTCATTGAAAATTGGCATATTTGCATTTTTGAAGACTATATAATTATTTAAAACGCTTTTTACTTCCCAGGACCAAATTTAGCGGAAAAACATCTTTTATCAAAATTTGGATATTCTTTAGTAGCCTTGGTATTGTTAACTCTTCAATGTAAAATAATAGAAAAAAGTTAAATTTATATTTACATATAAATTTCTTAATGAAAAATAAATATTTTTTTTATGATGGCACATTAATGCAGTTAATTGAAGGTACAAAATAAAATATTTTTCTAAAGAGTTTGGACATTTTCAGAGTGTTTTTGAACATTAAATTAAATTTAAAATATCTTTTTAGACAGTTTTGTGTTTATCTCTGAATGACATACCAATTCTAAACAAATATTTTGCTATTAAATATATATTATATATTATATATGAATATTGAGACTAATGTGCAGCACTGAGGAATCGTTTTTAACTAAACATATTATTGTAAAAAAATTTATTTTTGGCTGAGAAATATGTTCTACTTGGATACTTTTGTTTAATGCCATTTTTATGAATTTTCATATTGTTAAGTTAACCGTTTTTGAGAATATCTGTCATAATAGTTTTGAGGTTTTAACAGTGTACATTACTTGTATAGTATTCAGTATTTAAGATCAACTAAACGCACTGCTATAAAAAGAGCAGTTTAAATGACTGGTATAACAAACAAAAAACAATTAACTTAGAGTACTACTGCAAATTAATTGTAAAAAAAACAAAAAAAAACAATTAACCAAACGAACTACTACTACTACGAACATTAAACAGTGTACATTACTTGTTCAACAAAACAAAAACAATTACCAATAACTAAACGAACGACTACTAAGTACTACTACGAAATTTAAACAGTGTACATTACTTGTACAACAAAAAGTAGTTAACAATTAACTAAACGAACTAGAACTACTACTACTACGAACCTTGAACAGTACATTACTTGTTCAACAAAAAGTAATTAAAAATTTACTAAACAAGCTACTACTACTACTACGAACATTAAACAGTGTACATTACTTGTATACAACAAAAAGTGATTAACAATTAACTAAACGAACTACTACTATACTACGAACATTGAACAGTGTACATTACTTGTATAACAAAACAAAAATAATCAACTAAACGAACTACTACTACTACGAAGATTGAACAGTGTACATTAATTGTTCAACAAAAAGTGATTAACAATTAACTAAACGAACTACTACTACTGCGAACATTAAACAGTGTACATTAACTGTATAACAAAACAAAAACAATTCCCAATAACTAAACGAACGACTACTAAGTACTGCTACGAACATTAAACAGTGTACATTACTTGTACAACAAAAAGTAGTCAAAGATTAACTAAACGAACTACTACGAACCTTGAACAGTGTACATTACTTGTATACAACAAAAAGTAATTAAAAATTAACTAAACAAACTACTACTACTATTACGAACAATAAACAGTGACAGTTACTTGTACATAATAAAGTTCTACTATCGTCAGTAGTGTATCAGTAATAAACTTGTAACTAGCAAAAAGAATTATGAATTACTTGTACAGCAAACAGTAATCGACTAGTAATTATACCTATTACTTCTAAAACCAGTGTACATTACTTGAACTTGGGTTAGAAGTTGACTGTTATCTACACGTATCGTAATTTTTTGACAGTACACAGTAAATTATTTTTACAGTGTTCAGTACATGACTAGTACATAAGTTTCCAATACATATTTGTACCGTTATACTAGGGGTTGGAACACTGGTATATAGTTACAGCTAAACTACAGTGGATGGAACACTGATTTAGTTCAAGCTAAACTGCAGTGGATAGAACACTGGGATATAATTCCAGCTAAACTACTGCGGATGGAACACTGTTCTACAGAGGATTGGGGAACTAGAATTCATTGTTCCGTAAAAAACGTTTACAAGATCTTCTCCTGGCATCTCACACTTTCTTGTCTTTTCTGTCATTTCTGTATAAATCAATTAATCAATTTACCTAACTCTGTCAAAATATTATATGATTTAAAATGATCATAATAAATGTGAATTGATAAGTATCCGAGCTAATTCATTTTGATTAACATTATGGTTGATTAATTGATTATTAATCATTATCCGGAATAATTCATGGATCAGTATTGTAATTGATTAATTGATCAATATTCTAATTGATTAATTGATCAGTATCCCAATTAATTGATTATGTACTCAGATTGATTGATTGATCAGAATTCTAATTGAATGATTGATTTCCTTGACATGTAGTTCTTTGTACAGATCTACACCAGCTCAGGACCTACAATATTATATATATTGGGGATGTCTAGGGTCCAGGACCTACTATATTATATATATATTGCGGGTGTCTATGGTCAAGGACCTACTATATTATATATATTGCGGATGTCTAGGGTCAAGGACCTACTAAATTATATATATATTGCGGATGTCTATGGTCAAGGACCTACTATATTATATATATTGCGTATGTCTAGGGTACAGGACCTACTATATTATATATATTGCAGATGTCTAGGGTCAATTACCTACTAAATTAAATATATATTGCGGATGTCTATGGTCAAGGACCTACTATATTATATATATTGCGGATGTCTAGGGTACAGGACCTACTATATTATATATATTGCGGATGTCTATGGTCAAGGACCTACTATATCATATATATTGGGGATGTCTATGGTCAAGGACCTACTATATCATATATATATTGCGGATTTCTATGGTCAAGGACCTACAATATTATAATATTGGGGATGTCTAGGGTCAAGGACCTACTATATTATATATATATTGGGGATGTCTATGGTCAAGGACCTACTATATTATATATATTGAGGATGTCTCGAATCAAGGACCTACTATATTATATATATATATATTGCGGATGTCTATGGTCAAGGACCTACAATATTATATATATTGGGGATATCTAGGGTACAGGACCTACTATATTATATATATTGCGGATATCTAGGGTACAGGACCTACTATATTATAAATATATATATATTGCGGATGTCTATGGTCAAGGACCTACAATATTATATATATTAGAGGGAATAAAGGAGGTCAAGTTAACAGGATCCAAGTAAAGTTCTAATTTTGTCATCTTTCTATATATTTATTTAACTCTCTCTCTATCTGTCTAGAATCCGGAGGTCAAGTTAACAGGATCCAAGTAAAGTTCTAATTTTGTCATCTTTCTATATATTTATTTAACTCTCTCTCTATCTGTCTAGAATCCCACCGCAATCCAAATTGAAACAATTTGGCACGTTTCTTTCATTCAAATCAACATTTTTTCTTCTTTTTTTCCCACGCCATGTTGTAAAAACAAGGTTAATTCTCAATTCTGTTTCCGGTTTAAGTATTTTATTCATTTAATAGCTTGGGAACCCAGCTTTGCCTGCGAACCAAACATTCTCTATGAGAGTCAACCGGCCCACCGAATTTAAAGCTAAGAATATTCCCGTGGGTCTTCCGAGTTCAAGAATAAAATTTTGAGGCAAATCGGTCAATGGGTTCACTAGTTAAGATCGGACATGCCAACAAACAAACAAGTGTGTCCGTGTGCTTGTTTGTTTTATGATCCGATCATAACTCATGAACCCCTTGATCGATTTGCCTATGTTTGAAATTTATGAATGTATAAAGTATTTACTCTGACTTAGAATTTTGTTTTTAATAGTTTAGATTCAATATGTTTTGGAAAGCTCATATACATATGGCGACCATTTTTTTTTTTACAAAACTAAAGCTTATGAAGAACACACGCGATCGTTTAATTGTCTTTTAGCCCCTGACCTGAACATTGGCTGCTTGTCCTCTGAATAGCCCTGGCTGAACACTCTTGTAGTGTGACAATCCAAGGTCCTCTAATCTTCTAAATATTAAAGAATATCGTTTATTTTCAAGGTCCTCTAATCTTAAATATTAAAGAATATCGTTTTATTCTGTGGACGTAGTCTCGATTCAAGTGTAACATTTCAATTAAAAAGTGGTATTTGCAACGATACTCTTTAAACATTCGTCTAAAAGAATAAAAGAGATATCCGATTATATAAATGCTCTTTAATAATACATACGTTAAACACGCAATTATCAGCATTCAACACTGTTTTAGGTAGAAACGACAATATATTCCACATTATTGACCAGATAAAGGTTTAGGTAGAAACGACAATATATTCCACATTATTGACCAGATAAAGGTTTAGGTAGAAACGACAATATATTCCACATTATTGACCAGATAAAGGTTTAGGTAGAAACGACAATATCTTCCACATTATTGACCAGATAAAGGTTTAGGTAGAAACGACAATATCTTCCACATTATTGACCAGATAAAGGTTTAGGTAGAAACGACAATATCTTCCACATTATTGACCAGATAAAGGTTTAGGTAGAAACGACAATATCTTCCACATTATTGACCAGATAAAGGTTTAAAAAAGTAATGTTATAATTGTAAATTAAACATGCCCCTTTCAATGGAGGGTCGTTTTTGATAGAAAACAAACAAACAATGTTTTCTTCATTATTGATCAGAAAAAGGTTTATATGTCATACTGTGGTGTAACGGGCATGTCCTCCTTTAAATGGCGGGTCACTTAGAAATAAGAACGAGAGTCCCTTTAAATATTTTGCATTTAATACGCTCTGTTTCAGGATTGACCTTGGTTGATTAAAGGCATGAGGAAACATGTGTATATAAATAAAGTAATTATAAAGTATGAACAAGAAGTTATAAAACACTTGGACAGTTTTAAATAAAAATGTATCTTCAACAGTTGACGTTTGATTGACGTCAAAATAAGTCACGCTGATTGTACAGTTTGATCCTTTTCCCAGCAGTTAGTGGGACTTTCAATCCCAATTCGATCAATTAGAATACGTTGATTATTTATCTATTATATTGTAGAGATCACAAACTAAGAATCCACAAGAGATGGAAGGATAAAATCCGGGAAGGATGAAAAGAGAATCCAGGAGCCAGTCTGATTAGAACCAGGAAGAAGAGAAGATCTTCAAGCTTAATTCTCAACATATTTATAGAATTTGTAATATATTTATATCCTAAGAATATCAGTAAATATATAATCTTCACAATATTACAGTAATAACCAGAAAACTCTGTGCTAAGAAGATGACTTTTAGAGTGAAGTTTTAACTTTAAATAGTTCCTTCAGCATGAGACACAGCTATGGTGCATTGTAAACAGGCCTATTTCACAAGTATTGCAATAAAGTCGTCTTTCTTTTCCAGAGTTTTCTGGTTATCACTGTATATATAAATGACGAATTCAATTCGATGCATTCTTATATAGTTGATATTTCAAAATATTTTTTTTAGCTCAGTATTTCGTTGAAAACTAGTTTTCACGACTGGCGTTGGATTTTCGAACATTCCTGATGGAAAATATGAACGCTACGTCATCTCCCCCCTTGGATAAGATGAATGTAAAATACCCCCTGACCTGACTATATCTGGACGGGAGTTAACCAAATTATTCGTCTCGCTTGGATCATTTACAAGGTCATAAACCTCCTTCAGCTTTAAATAGAATAATATTAAACATTGTGTCAGCATTATTAATGTACTTAATCTTTATCTAAAGTGTCTATTTTAAGATAACAAAATATTATCCTGACTTTCGTGGATTAGATTTTTCTAGTCCACATGTTCCCTCCACTTTTTTCATGTCCTTGAATTCAATTCTGATAAAAAGGTGAGTTTATTCAAGTGCAACATAGAAAATCTATGGTATGCAATTTGCAAAAACATGTGATCATTGTTTGAACGCGATCAGAGGTCGAATTTAAATAATTTGAGCCACGTTTCAAATTTGAGACGCAGCCCAAACACAAGATTTTACGAGATTTAAGTCGGTGCAGTTTAAATTCTTTAAAATCGGCCTCTGTAAACATAAATTGGTAAAAAAAAACCTCTTTATTGAATCGAAGTCCGAACTCGTTCTTAACACGTGATTTCCTAAAATTAAAAAAAAACGTTTAAACAATTCTCAAAAATGTTAAATTTATTGTTTTTTAGAATATATAAATTCACACGCTTTTAATTTTTCTAACTTTAATTTCTGTACTTTTTTAAATGAGTAGTGTGTATGATACTATGATATTGTGTGTTTGTTTTGTTTGTTGGTATCCAATAAACGTCAAAACGGCTGAAACGATCAGGGTCTTTGATTTTTTAAAGGATACATTATGGAATCCTGCAAAATATTTAATAATTTGTTTTTTACAAAGAAAAATAGTTGCTTGCATGTAAAGTAACATTTAAAGCTAGAATGATTTCAAGACAGAATGGCGCGAAGCGCCCTGGAAGCTTATTTCTTTGTACTTTGATAAACTTACTTTATTATACTGTTGATCTGTCCCCATATCAGTTTATACTGGGAATCACGCACAACAATCTAGAAATATGGATTATATCTAGAAATATGGATTATATCTAGAAATATGGATTATATCTAGAAATAAGAATTAGATCTAGAAATATGGATTATATCTAGAAATATGGATTAGATCTAGAAATATGGATTAGACCTAAAAATATGGATTAGATCTAGAAATATGGATTAGATCTAGAAATATGAATTAGATATAGAACTATGGAATAGAACTAGAAATATAGACTAGATCTAGAAATATGGATTAGATCTAAAAATATGGATTAGATCCATAAATATGGATTAGCTCTAGAAATATGGATTAGATCTAGAAATATAGATTAGATCTAACAATACGGATTAGATCTAGAAATATTAATTATATCCAGAACAATGGATTATTAGTATCATAAATGGAGTTCTAGATTTGTTAATAAATATTATTTAACCTGAAATCTATTTGCTTCTACTCGAGACACCAAATTCACTGGCAGGAATGAATCATCAATATTATAAACCATACTTATTCTAATAATAATATCTAATTGCAATGATAATAATGATAATAATAACAATAGTACTACTATACAAATAATTAAAATGAATAACAATGATAGCAATGATAATTACAATATTGATGATAATACTGATAATAAGAATGCAATTATAATAGCAATGATAATATTAATATTGATAATAATAATTATAACAATCATGACAATACTAACCTAGGACTTAATGCTTGTTGCCCTGTAATAGATTCCCATTGATCTAATCCATCCAGGCCAGACGGTATCTATATTATTCATATTTTATAAATTAATATATTTTTTTAATCTTTTGATAAATAAAAAAGGCAAGGCTTTAAATGAGGACTTAGTAAAGGGAGGAGGGGGGACATGCGGCCAGAAGCACCGCAATATCCTTTTCGAACCTAGATTTTTAGCAAAACCCTGACCAAGCCCCGTGGAATACTTTTAGAGACCAGCAAAAGGCTTTTCAGGTCCTGCCAAAAACTGCTAAAAAAAAAACTTTTATTGATAATTGACTTAATAAAGAAAAAATTCAAAAATAAAAACGTGGGGGAATTATTTATCATTCAAACCATACAGCATTCATCAAAAATGTGTAGAAAGTATCTAATTATGATATTTATAACTCATAAAAAAAACATAACAAACAAAGATGATAGCTTAATATACCATAGATATTTTGAATTTGTATACCTTAGTATTTGTTAACCCCAGCAAGGTTGGGTAAATATCAACCATATGCATTAGTCCGCCGTATCTAAACAGTAATCTTCTTAAAAACTATATGCATTAGTCCGCCGTATCTAAACAGTAATCTTCTAAAAAACTACATGCATTAGTCCGCCGTAGCTAAACAGTAATCTTCTTAAAAACTATATGCATTAGTCCGCCGTATCTAAACGGTAATCTTCTTAAATACTATTAAGATTAGTCCGCCTTATCTAAATAGTAATCTTCTTAAAAACTATATGGATTAGTCCGCCGTATCTAAACAGTAATCTTCTTAAAAACTACATGCATTAGTTCGCCGTATCTAAACAGTAATCTTCTTAAAAACTATATGCATTAGTCCGCCGTATCTAAACAGTAATCTTCTTAAAAACTATATGCATTAGTCCGCCGTATCTTAACAGTAATCTTCTAAAAAACTATATGCATTAGTCCGCCGTATCTAAACAGTAATCTTCTTAAAAACTATATGCATTAGTGCGCCGTATCTTAACAGTAATCTTCTTAAAAACTATATGCATTAGTCCACCGTATCTAAACAATAATCTTCTTAAAAACTATATGCATCATTAGTCCGCCGTATCTAAACAGTAATCTTCTTAAAAACTATATGCATTAGTGCGCCGTATCTTAACAGTAATCTTCTTAAAAACTATATGCATTAGTCCACCGTATCTAAACAGTAATCTTCTTAAAACTATATACGTAAAAAATCAATAGGAGGTCCATCTGGCTCTACTATATTACTTCTGTTCGAATTTTCAGAATATAGAAATTAATATTTTTATACACATTTCAGTGCAAACCAAGATCTGCCGGTTCTCCTGCAAAACAGGATCAGTATTTTGTCAATTACTCCATCTCAACTAAAGGTAGAAACAAGCATGTTACTTTATAAAAATGCAGATATCTAGAACTATAAAAACATATGAGTAAATTGCTAAGATAAAACGAAAGAATAAGGCTTTAGGACAAGTTAAAGCCGAGGTTGTCTAAGAACCTGATGACTAACTTTTGGAGTTGTCTAAATCTCAGTGGTTAATAAGGATTCAAAATTTTTTATTCAATTTTGATGGAATTTATCAATTTATTTGTCTCATTGTAGGGTGATAAACTTACTTAATCACCTTACAACAGGGTGATTAAGTAACTTGACCTGCTTTTAAATAATTCGAGTAAAACTGAATAAAACTATATACGTTATTGAAATGGGTATCATGCATGAAAAAATTACTAAATAACTAACTGGTTCTCAAGTCTGGTTTTCCCCAGATTTTGTTAAACCACAAGTTCATCTAATAATCTTACATTTCCTTGAAATTAGGTGAACAGTCTCTTTAATTTATTAATCTAACATACCTTAAAAATAGGTATACAGCCCCTTTAATTTATTAATCTAACATACCTTAAAATTAGGTATACAGCCCCTTTAAATTATCAATCTAACATTCCCCTAAAATTAGGCATACAGCCCCTTTAAATCATCAATCTAACATTCCCCTAAAATTAGGCATACAGCCCCTTTAATTTATCAATATTACATTCCTCTAAAATTTGGCATACAGCCCCTTTAATTTATCAATATTACATTCCTCTAAAATTTGGAGCACAGTCTCTAGATCTTATAAATATTAAATACCTTGAACCCCTTGCAGCTGGATCTAGTAAAGGACTGTGAATGAAGGCAGGAATCTAGAACAATAAAAAAATAATATCAATATATTTTTTTTTTTTAATCCTTCTAATAATCCAGTCACCTTGGTTCCTCCTTCATACAGCGTGCCCTTAAACCCCTTCAGTGGATAATTAAAGTCTGATCAAAACATTGCAAAATTTTATATAAATGTTTAGATTTTTTTTATTTCAAAAAGGCTAAATTGTCCAAAAAATAATCCAAAGATGTGCGTCAAAAATCGTAAAAAAAATATTAAAAGTATTAAGTATGTTTGCAATAATTTTTTTCCTTCTTCTTTTTTGTCAAACTTAGCTCCGTTATCTGATAGGAACAGGAGAACAGTATTCTGATACTGGTCAGTCTTCTTTAGAACATTCACTATCTTACAGAATATAATTCATTAATTCATTATTCATCCTGTTACAGAATATAACTCATTCATTCGTTATTCATGAACTTATTTAATATAATTAATTCATTCATCATGAATCATTCTACAGAATATAATTCATTAAATCATTATTCAATTTCTTGCTGAATAAAATTCATTCATTTATTATTCATTATCTTACCTAATATAATTAATTTACTTATTATACATTATCTTACAGAATTCATTAATCTATCATAATGATAGAATATATTTTATTTATTCATCGTTCATTACAGAATATATGTAAAATTATAAAATGCTATGGAAGGGTCCGGCGTTGCCCGTGGAATTTTAAAAAATCGATTTTTGAAAAATACAAATTTTAGAATTTGTTTAGCCCATCCCCAGGGTGCTCATGGGTTCCCTCAAAAAAATGTCATTCATTATGTTAAAAAGTATATTCATTATATGAATCATGATTTAATATTTATTATTCAATATAGATTTTTTTACTATTTATTATTCAATATATGATTAATAATTGTTGTTTTACTAAGATAATTTTGAATTTTATTTTCCTTTTTTATCTCTCCTAGAATCTTGGGGACATGAATATCCCAGTTTAGAAACTTGACCTCCATTCTCCATGCCTAAATTTATAGCGGACAAACTTTTGGGTATAAATTAAGAAAGGTGAAAGCTGAGAGGTGGGAAATTGAAATCAAACCTAGCTAAAACCCATAATTTGATATACATCATGAATGGGGTTGTACATGGTATAAGGAAGGTAAAAAATTTCTAGGGGCCGTTAACAAAATCGGCACGCCAATCGGTACAAGTTACCACCCCCTAGGAAACTAAACCATTACGTTTTTTTTTGTAATTCTATATTTTCCCCGTCACAAAACCTGTAATTCAGATATATGCGCACTACAGTTTGTATAAACTTGTAGATAGATATATACTCACTTTATCAAAGTTAAAAACCAAGTTTTATCGCCCTAGGTTTTCAAAACTCTACACCTAACATATTATCAAATATTCATCGACTCACGTCTTCATCCTTTTCCTTTCAATTACCCCCCCCCCCGAAAATCCTAGGGGTAATTACCTCCCTTTCCCCTAGAATCTTGGGGACATGAATATCCCAGTTTAGAAACTTGACCTCCATTCTCCATGCCTAAATTTATAGCGGACAAACTTTTGTATATTTGCTGTATGGTTGCTATGTCACTTTCATTATGCAGGGCGTCCCAATAAACATGGGAATTTGGGACGACAGGAATACCGACTTTGATTTCCATTAATTGATAAATGACAGAAAGTGCAAAAAAAAAGATTGAAATTCCAATGAGCTTTTCAAAATGAGGTCTACCTTCTCCGTATCTTTATAAAATTAACGGAGATATTAAACTTTTGAACAGTTTTGTTGATTTTTAACAAACTGGAATCTGGACAAATTTCCAAATGTTTCCGTAAATTTTTAAGGTAAAAAAAATGGTGGACCACATTTAAGAAATCCTATGAAGACTAGTTTTCGGTGTTAAATTTTCTAATTGTAATACTACGAAATTATATTTATGAAGTAATCCCGCATGAAACAAAGACGATATAGAAGTTGTCATTTAATTCCCATTTTATTGGGACATCCTGTAATCTTATATTTGGTTTTAGTTATTGAATTAAACTTTTTTGCGCGCATTTTCCAGTTTTAAAAACTAGTTTTAATTGCAATTATAGATTAACGTCTTATTGAAATTTGAGTAGGCTGAATTGTACTTCCACTTTGCCATTTATTCTTCGTCAAAACTTCCTCTAAATTTTTAAGTTATTTTTAAGTTATGAATACAGGGCGAGTCAAAGAAAAGTGATTAGCAGCGTCTTGTGAAAAAGTTCACCTATTTTATGCAACTCTCCTTTATGATAATTTTCAAATATTTTTTGGATTTTTTTTGGTACTCCAATTGCCCCAAAAATATACGCGCAGCTTGTTTTTCTCAAAATCAAAAGTTCAGAAAAGCAAAAATATGATAATGTGATAATATGATAATATGATAATATGATAATATGATAATATGATAATATGATAATATGATAATATGATAATATGATAATATGATACATTATTTCTATCAACTTTAAAATTTTATAAATATTGGTTTATAAACTTGAAAGATATGTAAAATAAATCTGCAAAACTTCAGTAGAATATAAGTACACAGTTAACAGGTTAAATTCATTCTAAATGCCCTCCATTGTTTTGGACACACTTTGCCTTCTTCTTAATATATTCTAAATTTATAAATATACGCTGTTCAGTTGAAAACTGAGGAGAAATTTAAAAACAACTAGTTTCCTTCAAAATTAGACCAGAACTAAAAATTGGGAATTTTCTTATTATAGTTTTGCAAATTCTCTTTGATTCTGGAAGTCAATATTTATACAATTTAAAAAAAGTGTTTTAAAACTTTTTCGGTTAATAAACGTCGCTTTATTGTATGTATTTCTAATAGATACAATGTCAATAAATTTCCCTCATTCCACGATACACCCCTGAGTTTTTCATAAATAAGTAAAGACGTAATCTTTAAAAATCTCCAACCTGAAGAATATCTACAGGGTCTCCAACATAAAGTCCTAAAAATAAAAATTCTTAAACATAAACTTTCTAAATCTTTGTATTAGCATTAGGGCAATATAAACAGATAATAATGAAAACTGTTTAAATAAAAATATCTAAAATTTGAATAATGTTTCAAGATAGGTTAAAAGATCTGAAATGGATATAGAAAAAATTAGAAAAACAATCCTTAAAATTTTTTAAAATAAGGGAGGGTCGGGGTGGGGGGCAAAGGACTTTGCCCCTCTTATAGTTGGGGTTGTAAAAGATTGCCAGCTCTATACAAAAATGTATTCAAGTATAAAAATAACATGTTAAATTATAACCTGAAAAATAATTAAATCCTCTATTCGTCGGAAGATACTCTTCACTAGAATATAAATATATTTAAATCAAGAGAAATTTTAAATCAGAAATACAGCGGTGGAAAGGATCAATGAGAATGAAACTAAAGGGAAGGGAATGGAGAAGGGATGAGAATGAAATTAAAGGGAAGGGAATGGAAAAAGGATGAGAAGGAAACTAAAGGGAAGGGAATGGAGAAGGGATGAGAATGAAACTAAAGGGAAAGGAATGAAGAAGGGATGAGAAGGAAACTAAAGGGAAGGGAATGGAGAAGGGGTGAGAATGAAACTAAAGGGAAAGGAGTGGAGAAGGGGTGAGATTGAAACTAAAGGGAAAGGAACGGAAAAGGGGTGAGAATGAATCTAAACGGATGGAAATGGAGAAGGGGTGAGAATGAAACTATAAAGGGAAAGTAATGATAAAGGGGTGATAATGAAACTAACGGATAAGGAATGGAGAAGGGGTGAGAATAAAACTAAAGGTATTGTAATGGAGAAGGGGTGAGAATAAAACTAAAGGGAAAGTAATGATGAAGAGGTGATAATGAAACTAAAGGGAAAGGAATGGAGAAGGGGTGATAATGAAACTAAAGGGAAGGGAATGGAGCAGGGGTGAGAATGAAACTAAAGGGAAAGAAATGGAGAAGGGGTGAGAATGAAACTAAAGGAAATGGAATGGAGAAGGGGTGAGAATGAAACTATAGGGAAATTTATGATGAAGAGGTGAGAATGAAACTATAAGGAAAGTAATGATGAAGAGGTGAGAATGAAACTAAAGGGAAGGAAATTGAGAAGGGGGTGAGAATGAAACTAAAGGTAAAGGAATGGAGAAGGGGTGAGAATAAATCTAAAGGAAAGGAAATTGAGAAGGGATGAGAATGAAACTAAAGGGAAGGAAATGGAGAAGGGGTGAGAATGAAACTAAAGGGGGAGAAGGGATGGGGCTGAGAATGAAACCACTGATCGGGAAGAGTGGGGAAGCTGGGAGGGGAGGAAGGGGGAATACCGAAGGAGAACGAGGAAGGGGAAATGGGGATGAAAGCGGGGAAAACTAACCTGCAGAATCCAAGGTGCCATTTTCCCAGAGCTGAGCAATTATATCCTTGATCTTGAAGTTGCTCTGAGAGCAAAGAGAGATCTGTTGGTAACCCTTCAGGAGCATATCCACCAAACCCTCGCTAATCATTGAGATGATAATTACGGCAATAATAATAATACAAGGAGATCTCTAGTCATTGAGATGATAATTACAGCAATAATAATAATACAATGAGATCTCTAGTCATTGAGATGATAATTACAGCAATAATAATAATACAATGAGATCTTTAGTCATTGAGATGATAATTACAGCAATAATAATAATACAATGAGATCTCTAGTGATTGAGATAATAATTACAGTAATAATAATAATACAAGGAGATCTCTAGTCATTGAGATGATAATTACAGCAATAATAATAATACAAGGAGATCTCTAGTCATTGAGATGATAATTCATCAATAATAATAATACAATGACATCTCTAGTGATTGAGATGATAATTACAGCAATAATAATAATACAAGGAGATCTCTAGTGATTGAGATGATAATTACAGCAATAATAATAATACAAGGAGATCTCTAGTCATTGAGATGATAATTACAGCAATAATAATAATACAATGAGATCTCTAGTAATTTAGATGATAATTACTGTAATAATAATGATAAAAGGAGATCTCTAGTCAGTGATATGATAATTACAGCAATAATAATAATACATTGAGATCTCTAGTCATTAAGATGATTATTACTGTAATAATAATAATACAATGAGATCTCTAGCCATTGAGATGATAATTACAGTAATAATAATAATACAAGGAGATCTATAGTAATTGAGATGATATATACAGTAATAATAATAATACAAGGAGATCTATAGTCATTGAGATGATATACACAGTAATAATAACAATACAAGGAGATCTATAGTCATTAAGATGATACTTATTATAAAGATTTATTCACACACAAAGATATAAATACATATATAAATGGTGTAGTTAAAATTTGTTTAAATAATTTTTTTTGAAAATACAGTAATAGTAAAGGTACAATGAGATCTCTATAGTCTATAGTCATTGAGATGATAATTACATTAATAATTATAATACAAAGGAAACAAAATAATATTAAATATATTCCTATACCAAATGTAGTTGAGAAACGTGTATTTAATCAAATGTTCACCTGAAACCCGTATCTGAATGGATACACTCCTATTAAAGTTTATACTTGCAATACTTGAATTCAAACATTTGGACAACTTCAATAAAAGAAAAGAAGAGTTTAATCGTTTAATCCAGTGTACAGGGTTAACCAACAAGGATGAGAATTTATGAATGACCTACAACTCTTTAATTGTAAGGATTAAAAAATACACTACTTGTTAAAACTGTAAAATATACAGAAAAAAAAACATGCAGATCAACTGAACCGATCCCTTCAGCTCTATGAAGCTCCGTGGAGGATTATTAAGCCCCATTGAGCTGCTTAAAGAAGCTCCGTAGACGAGTATTGAGCTCCATTGAGCTGCGAAATGAAGCTCCGTAGACGAAAAATGAGCCCCATTGAGCTGCTCAATGAAGCTCCGTAGACTAGTATTTAGCCCCATTAAGCTGCTTAATTGAGCTAAAAATTGTTGTTTAAGCTGAAGAGGGATAATTGAGCTGCAGAAGATAGATAATTAGTCTTGAGGAAACAGAATAATTTGCATTTAACTGCATTATGGCGAGTGCCCTTTCTTGTTAATTGCATTCAACTTCTTGCATTGTAAAAATTTACCAGTTTACGTGTTTTTTAAGCAATTAGCTCAGATTGTTTGTAGAAAAGATTAAATTGTTAAACCGCCTGCATTAACATTTTACTTTCAGTTCTTTATCCAAGGTTTTATTAAATAATTTGAGGTTCTTCTAAAGTGCAAAGTATTTAGTTATCATTCAAGAATTTAATTTTTTTTTACAAAATTAAAAACCTTTAAGACACATTTTTTTTAATTTTTATCATTCATAAACCTTCCCTGTGGTCAAGTGATGTCCCACAAAAAATTTGGGCCCGATCGGTTCAGCCGTTTTGACGTTTATTGGATACAAACAAACAAACACCCAGACAAGCCAAATTTATATATAGATGATAGTTAATCTAAGATCTAAGGCAGAAATGTGGCAAATCACAATCGTAGCAAAGCCACAATTTGAAAGAGTTTAACGTAAACATCTCATTCATATTTGATTAAACAAAGTTTTTATGGGTGCTGTTGTGAATCAGACATGCTATATCCAATTTTTGGAAATCTAAAGGGTTAAGGGTTAAGGGTACTGTTGTAAATCGGACATGCAGCTCTAAAGATGGAGATTCTAGTAAAATTACGATTTCAGTCCTTATAAAGAGATGTTTACGTTTTTTGCACAGTTAGCACCATATCCAGTATGTGGAGATCTGAAGGGAGAGATAGGTTTTGTTTACACATTTTACTGTAACGTATTATAATTTCAAGGAACTTTCCTGAGCAAGTTAGGAAGGACAGGTTTATCAAATAATTTTTGAATCAATTTTGTGTTTAACAAAATAACCCAATTTTTTAGCAGTTTTAATACGTTACGTTAAATAGTTAAATAAAAACAACCCCTTTCCCCTCTCATCATACGTTTATACACATTAATTTTACCAATATTTATGTACAATATGTACTGCATAGTATTCCTGTCAGTAATGCTGCTCTGGATGGTGTACAGATAGGTAGTGTGTACATATTGTCCAGAATAACTCCCTGAAATAAATTAAAACCAAATTTGACAAAAATAGAAAAGAAGATGTATAAAGTTGCTTTTATCGCATAACCTGCTCGTTGAACTTACTCTCTTGTAATCTCTGAGATCTTATCAGATTAACATATATACATTTTCTTATGAGAAAAAAGAAATCTAATAAATAGTTAGGCTTGAATATTTGCCTAGGGGTGGGACAAATTAAACTGGGTAAAAACTAGGAACGATTTTATATTACAAATTTAGACTTCTTAATCCCCTTCAGTATTCACTTCTTTCAGACCTTCTCCTTCCTATCCACCTTCTCCTTTCTTTCTTCCTTCTCCTTTCTTTCTTCTTTCTCCTTTCTTTCTTCCTTCTCCTTTCTTTCTTCCTTCTCCTTTCTTTCATCCTTTCTTCTTCCTATTCACCTTCCACTTTATTTCTTTCTTTCTTCTTCTTATTCACCTTCGCATTTCTTTCTTCCTTTCCTCTTCCTATTCACCTTCTCCTTTATTTCTTCCTTTCTTCTTCTTATTCACCTTCTCATTCCTTTCTAACTCTCTTTCTTCTTTTCTTATTCCCATTCACCTTTTCATTTCTTTCTTCCTTTATTCTTCCTAATCACCTTCACCTTTCTTTCTCCTTCCTATCCTCCTTCTTCTTTATTCCTACTTATCCTTTTTTTACTCCTTCTCCTTCCTATCCTCCTTCTTCTTTCTATCCTAATACTCCTTTTTATACTCCTTTTCCTTCCTATCGCTCTTCTCCTTCATATCCCTCTTCTCCTTCCTATCTTCCTTGTCCCTCCTATTAATCTTCTCCTTCCTATCCTCCTTGTCCCTCCTATTCTCCTTATTCTTCATATCTTACTTTTCCTACCTTCTCTGCCAGCTTCTGCAGGTTTGTTGTTGGAGCATTTCTGTTATTCCATGATACATCATTTACACCTTAAAAAAGATAAAGATAGGAAACTATTCTAAACTGCAAAAATATTCTGAAAATTGGTCAAAACATTTCAAATTTCTTTAACGACGCATTTTTCATAGTTTAGCAGGTTTAGTTTCCTGACAGTTCTTGATAGAGTTGACATATTGTTGAATACAATATTGCATGTATATTGTGCATAATTGTTCTTCTTCATATCATCTATTGTGCATTGTTGTAGTGTTTTAGCACATTATATTTGCAAGCTACTGTTCAACCTTCAGATATTTTAAACTCAATTTGTCAGCCGGACATTATAATATAAACTCAATCTGTAAGCGGGACATTATAATGTAAACTCAATCTGTCAGCGGGACATTATAATGTAAACTCAAATCTGTCAGCGGACACTAAAATGTAAACTCAATCTGTCAGCTGGACATTATAATATGAACTCAATCTGTCAGCGGGACATTATAATGTAAACTCAATCTGTCAGCGGGACATTATAATATAAACTCAATCTGTCAGCGGGACATTATAATGTAAACTCAATCTGTCAGCTGGATATTGTAATGTAACCTTAATATGTCAGCGGGACATTATAATGTAAACTCATTTTGTCAGCGGGACATTAATGTAAACTTACTCTGTCAGCAGGACATTATAATATAAACTTAATCTGCCAGCGTCTTGCAATTTTCTTATCTTTAAGCTTTAAGCTGTAATTTGCATTGTCCATAAAATTATTCCTATTGTTGACAGCTAGACATTATAATGCAAACTCAATTTGTCAGTGGGACATTAAAATGTAAACTCAATCTGTCAGCTGTACATTATAATGTAAACTCAATCTGTCAGCTGGAAATTATAATGTAAACTCAATCTGTCAGCGGGACATTATAATGCAAACTCAATCTGTCAGCGGGACATTAAAATGTAAACTTAATCTGTCAGCGGGACATTATAATGTAAACTAAATCTGTCAGCTGGACATTATAATGTAAACTTAATCTGTCAGCTGGACATTATAATGTAAACTTAATCTGTCAGCTGGGCATTATGATATAAACTTAATCTGTCAGCGTGTTGCAATCGGAAGAAGCTAATTTAGCAAAATATTTTTACAATTTTCGTATCTTAAAGCTTAAAGCTGTAATTTGCATTGTCCATAAAATTCGTCCTATTGTTGAAAGGACATGACTCTGGTTTGTTAGTTCCCGAACAATGTCAAAACATCGCAAAATTCTGCATTTCTTTGATTTTAGGATAGAAATTAGCCCTCGCTATAACAAGGCAGGCTGTCTAAATAAAAATAATATTAAAAATAACAGTATTTTTAACAAGCTATCAATTACATTCATTTTTAATCCTTTAAACATGTTTTTAACATTTTTTATTTTTTAAACAAAAATTTCTGTTTATTTTTTGGAATCCCGCGCGAACTTCGTAAATTACAAGCTGAACTGTTTACAAGAAACATGATATTGATTGATTAGCAAATTTAACTAGTGTTTAGATAAACAGATCATCTTCGGATCTGATGCAATATTAAAGAGATTGTTTAGGAAATGTTAGGTGGCGCTTCAATTCAAGTGTTCGTTCCAGAATTCTCCTTTACACTTCTAAGTGACCCTATGATTTATAGAATGGGAAGTGTGATTCAAAACGGTATCCAACAGAGCTTTGGTTGTTAAAAATTGAATGATATAATTGCACGTTTTTTTATGGTTACAGAAAAGTGACTTGCAGTTTCAGATTAATGGTATAGAAGCAATGCAAGATAATTATTAGAATTAAACCATTTTCAAGCAACAAAAAAAACGGTGATATCTTCTAAATTATTGATTGGAGAAAGGTTGAAAGGGTGCCGTTGTGAATTTTAATTTTAAAAGAGTATATAAAAATGACAAATTAATCAAACTAATCGTGGATTTGTAATTTCTAATTCTATGCAAGTACAAGAATCAGTTAAAAATTTGAGGGGTAACGTTGCAAATCTGAGATGACATTTTATATGTAGCTCTTGAGATTTTCTAAACCCCCTTCAAAAATAGACTGTACGCTGTTGTACTATTCAAATCTTACCTAAATCGTCGGCTAGAATGACGATTATATTTGGTTTGTCGAATCCTAGTTTGCTCTTCAGGCAGGTTATTCCTAGAAATTAAGAAAAGGAAATAATGTTTATTTACTGTCTACTGTCTACTGTCTACTGTCTACTGTCTACTGTCTACTGTGTACTGTCTATTGTCTACTATCTACTGTCTACTGTCTACTGTCTACTGTCTACTGTCTACTGTCTACTGTCTACTGTCTACTGTCTACTGTCTACTGTCTACCAACTAATTTCTATTTGATGCATGTTTTCTTTGAACTCTTGTTTAGAACTTGTAAAAGCAACCTTGACGTTATAGGTTTAAGTAGATAAGTAAGAGATTATTAAAGGCCTAATATTTAAAGTGGTTGAAAATGCAAATTAGCTCTGGCTACTTAGTAAACAAATTATAGATGGGATTATCTCCGCTAATTAAAGAATATTATAAGAGTACAGTACAGGGTGTCCCAATGTATTTGGGAAGTAAGTATTAACTCTGTTACGTTCTGTCAGCTTATAGTTTCTAATAATATAAAAATATATAATCTGCGGCATTCAATATTCGTTTGACAGCCTTATTGTATAAGTAAAATTGTAAAACAATATTCAAAACATAAACCTAGTTAAATGGCATCTCAAAACTGTGATTAAAAATGAACCGGAGCTCTGAAGAATTGTGTTAAGAATTGGACAATTTGGATTTTATTAAATAAATTGAATTCCGAAAAAAAAATTCTTCATCTTATTCGCAATTAACGGTTAGAATGTTAATAAAGGCAGCCAACAATTTGATGATTCCAGAATAAAGTTCATATGTTAGACAGATCCAAGAGGATTTAAAACGGGATTGAAATTTGAGGAAAAACTACTAAAAGATTGACCCCCCTTTTCAACTTTTAATCAGAATAGTTTTGGAGACTGATCCACTAAAGACTGTTTTAATATCTATCTGGTGGTTTTAAGAATTTTCTGTTGAGAAACTAGACTTTTTTTGTAAGAGATATTTTTAGTTTTTTTAAAATTCTTATTCCTAAAAAATTGTGAAAGAAAAAAGGGGTAAATGTCCGTTTTTCGACATTAGACTGTTTACCCTTTATAAGGTGGGTAGTGAGGGTAGCAGAAGTCGAAGAGTGAATAATGCCAAAAACCGAGCTGTAAACAATTAAAGGGTATATACATCTATATATAAATTTGGCTTGTCTGTTTGTTGTCTGTCTGTTTGTATCCAATAAACGTCAAAACGGCTGAACCGATCGGGCCCAATTTTTTGTGGGACATGACGTGACCACAGGGAAGGTTTATGAATGATAAAAATTTTTTAAAAATGTGTTTTAAAGGTTTTTAATTTTGTAAAAAAAATTAAATTCTTGAAAATCCGCGAATCTTTTTTTAAAAATCCGCAAAATTTTTTTCTTCTTTGTCTTTAAATGTAAACAAAAAGAACGTGCTCTAAAAGTCTAGAAAGAAGGGCGCGAAGCGCCTTGAATTTCTTGTAGTTTAAATTCAACCCTAACCGCAATACTTTAGCTCATTGTTAATGTCTTAACTTGGTAAAATGATTGGACTGGAAATTAATTTAAATACTGCAGGGCGGGTGTCTCAACAAACATAAGAATTCATTATGAAATCAAATTTTCTAATATATATTTTTGCAACCTAATGGTGTAAACCTTTGATATTTCAAATTTAGATTAATTGATCTAACAAAGGTAATAGTTTGAAATATCAAAGGTCTATGACATAAGGTTACAAAGTTTTAGGTATTATAAAACTCATTTTCTTTCCAAATAAAATTGGAAATACTTTCAGTTTCTGTGATACTAGGTGCGAGAACCCAGCCTTGTCTGAAATCTAAAGGTTCTCTATGAAAGTTAACCACTCAACTTAGACTCAAACCAAGCTAAGAACATTCCCATAGTTTTAACGAGTTCCCTAATCATAATTTAAGGCAAATCGGTCAAGGGGTTCCTGAGTTATGATCAGACAAACAAACAGTGATTACAACTTTACATATATAGAGGTTTTGAAACGAACACCAAATTCCTAACATTTCAATTATAAAGCCAGGCCAGACCAAAGTTTAAATATTCCAAGATTATGTAAATATGGTATCATACTGTTTTTACTTAATTCCGATTTTTTCGGAACACCCATGCAAATTATGCAATACATGGAAGCTTCCTAAATACGAGTATATCTTTAAAATATAATATTTTTTATTCAATCTTAATGTTTTCGTGTTTTTACAAGTTTTTCAGCTATGCCTATTGAATTTGATCGAGCAAGGTTAATTCCACGAATACAAAATGAAAAACATGTGATGGACCAATGCCTTAGAATATGAATTATAATACCAATGCAAAATATATGCAATTTCCAATCATTTGTAAACCAAAAGGTTTTCATTTAACAAGAAATAAAATTTGGTTTGTGAATATTTAACAAAACAACAGGAAATACGATCAAACCCAGCCATTGTGCAAAAAATTTAGGACAATATCAAATATATGTGGATTTCCCACACATAGGACACATGGTTCCTTGAAATGGGCGCAACAGGATATCTCGAGGGGGGGGGGGATTTCGTTCTGGAGATCTGGTGTTTAATTCTGATATAAGGTGGATGTCAAATCTGTCTGATAAAACATGTCATTTTCTCCAATAATGTATAAGTAGATATGCTTTACATGGCAGATTATGGGGTTTAAAGGTTTATGATAAAAGTATGCAAATTATGCATGCAAAGATAATTCTATAAATGCAAACTAATAAAATCTGCAAACTTACCTTTCAGATGAAGGAGTAAAACAAAGCAATAAAGCCTAGATTTCATTTTTCTAAAAAAATTAAGTTTTAAAAGTATATATCTAGAGAAACAATAATCACAGATATTTAAGACATTAATCATTGTTGTAGCGTTGATATCTCATGCACATCTTCATAATCTCTGTACTCTGTATGTTACAAATAACTCACATTACACATCTTGTTGTTTCTATGTAATCTGTATGTTACAGATAGCTAACATATATTGTTGCATCTGTATCTTAAGCTCTGAATCTTACAGATATCTCAAATCACAAATCTTGTTGTATTTATAAAATCTGTAAGTTTTATTAGTATGTAAAGTTTATTCAGTTCAAAATTGAAGAATGAAGAAACAACTGTGAACAATCTGCATATATACATATTTGTTTAAGTTGTCAGTTAGTTTGTTATTTGGACCTATAGTCCTAGACACAGGTTAGGTTTATGGCCTGGTCAGGATTGAAAAATGTCCCTTCAGTAAATGTTAGATTCATATGATTTTTGAAATTCCACCGGAACAGAAAAATCTGTGGGATGTTTTTAGTGATCAAGAATATTCAAAGAAATCAGGAAAAGTATAAAAATATAGAAAAAGCAAAGTTCCCCAAGAGACTAGGCAAAGTTCCCCAAGAGACTAGGCAAAGTTCCCCAAGAGACTAGGCAAAGTTCCCCAAGAGACAAGGCAAAGTTCCCCAAGAGACTAGGCAAAACAAAGAAATTACTTAATTAAATTAAATCCTTAAACAACAGTTTAAACAACTTTTTTGAATCTAAATTGCTGTTGGCAAAGACAACGGGTTTTTTTGTCGTTTAAATATTCTGTTTAACTGGTCCTGGATAAAGTTAAGGTTTTTATTCCACACTACTTTTAGATTTCCAATTAAGCAGAAAAAGCTAATGCAGGAAAATGCCTAGAGCTGAAAGAAATGTATAATATCTCGACACTAATTCTGTCAATTTAATGCTGATTAAATCAAGCCTTGAATTCCCCTCAGCCCATTAGTTTTATTTTATCGTTTGCTTATTCACTCTAAGACCGGGCCTACCAACAATAAACATGGAAACCAGCGACGAATTAAAACTCCAATATTGAGTGAAAAAGAAAGAGAAGGGAAAATGGTAGACCACGTTTTAGAAATCCCGAGATTCATAGAGTTCACCGTTAAGTGTTTTAAATAGAAATACGAAACTGTGTTCACGAAAAAAATGCCGCATTGAACAAAGACGATATAAAAGTCGTCAATAAATTCCAATGTTTATTAAGACACATCGTTTATTGTTTATCAGTTTAAATACAATGACGTTTTCATCTTAATTCTCCACTATACGAATTAAATCTTGCAGTTCAAATCCATTTTTCGTAAAAATAAAAAGGGCAAACACAAAATATGAAAACCGTTGGGTCAAAGTGAAAATGACAGATTCCCGTTATCAGATACGAATATATTGACAAGTCTTTATAATTAAATTCAGAAACAAAGAATGAAAGTGACCCGTATTCAATGGTACACATTCCACTGAACAGTACAGGGTGTTTCATATATATATATATATACACACTAAATAAAGTACATGTGTGTTCATCGTTCAATAATACACAAACACTACTAAACGGTACGGAGTGTTTAATAGTACACACAGCCTACTAAAGAGTAAAGGGTGATCACATATATTACTAAATAAAGTACATCCAACTAAATAAAGTATACACGATGTTCATTGCTCATTCAATAGTTTACAAAGTGTTAAAAAGTGCATCTTCTCATCTGAAGTACATTGTGTTCTTGTCTGTCTCGATCTTCACATTTGACAAAGTACTCTGGCTAAACGTTTTGACTTAATCTGAGCTTCGTTACGGAATAAATTTATATCTAGGTTACGGAATAGATTTATATCTAGGTTTTAGAAGAAAGTGAAATGAACCACGACTGAATAAATTGGAACAAAAACTTATCTTTTGTATTTTTTATTTTTTGGAGAAGAATACAAAAATGAGAAAGTATTTAGACAGCAACATCAGATAAACAAGAAAGAAAGAAAGTAGAGAAAGAGAAAGTAAAAAGGGAGATCGCGACTGAAAGAAATTTGAGGAGGATAAAGAAAATGTGGGAAATGGAGAACATAAATAAATTTAAATATTTTTTTTAAAATTCAATTATTCTTTATGTTTGTGTTGCAGAATTCAAGAATGAATAAAATACTAAATGTAATAAAAGTAAAGTTTATAAATGTTAAACTGCAAGCTTTACAAGGTTACTGAAATGTCATTTAGAGAATTTATTCCAGATCGAATAAATATTATTTCTAATTCTAATTTCTCCAAATCTTGTTTAGATAACGATGTTGTTTTCTTTCTCGTTAAACTTTCCGGATTCATTTGGTCTGGTCCTGTGAAAGATTTAAAATATGTTAAAAAATCTAAATTTCTTTTCACTATAACTGGTTTGTTTGTGCGGTTTTTATTATCGTTTACATATATAAATATCTATATATATATATAGTATATCTAAATGATGGGGTTTTATCCCTTAAATAAAAAAAAAAAATTAGAAGAGAAATTGAAAGAATAAATTCAAAACCAAAAGTTTTTATAAACAATAGCCTTGGATTTGTCTAAAAAAGTAACTTAACGCTGGAGAAATTTAAAATGTTGATTTATAATTTTTGACAGAAACCATCTTTCCAAGTTTTCACAAGATGGATTGAATAGAACCAGAACTAATCAATTCTATTTATCACCAGGATGTTAAAGAAGATACAGATACGATAGATTCAAAAACGATAGATATAGAATCGACAGATACAGAGACCATAGATACATAGACCATAGATACAGAAACGATAGATACAGAGACAATACAGAGACCATAGATACATAGACCATAGATACAGAAACGATAGATACAGAGACAATACAGAGACCATAGATACATAGACCATAGATACAGAAACGATA